TTGGACTTCTCCCCTTCCAAGTTACACCTTCCCTGTGCCATCGATCATCAATTGCCTAGGGTCAAACTGCCCTCTGCCCTCTACTTTAATATAATTTACAAGGAGTAGGTTGGGGTTGAATTCTCTAGAGCATCTCTTCCTCCCTCTCAGACAGGAAATGCTTGACTTTGGCTCAATTATTCTCAAAGTGGCAAGATCTGAAGGTGTAAGATCTTGGTGTTTACTGTATAAACCAAACTTCCCATTGTATAGTCACTGCTTTAAGAACCTGGTTAATAAGAACCTGTGGAGTCCTGTAGCTCAGTGGTTAGAGCACTCGCTTTGCAAACGAGAGACCTGGGTTTGATTCCCGCAGGGTGAAACCTTGGGCAAGTTTCCTTATTCCACACTAATAATAATCCCTCAAAAAAAAATTGGTCATTTCAATCCATGACTGTTTGTGGGACATTGCTGTGCGCAATTGGCTGCCGCATTTTACCCACAAATATACAGTCAATTCACTTTACAGTCTATTCTGTGAAGCACTTTGAGACGTCTCGAAGACGTGAAGAGCGCTATATCAAATGCAAGGATTATTATTTTATTATTAATAATAATAATCCTTGCATTTGGTTGGGAGGTAGTTGGGAGGACGTCTCAAAGAGCTTGAAGATTTTACTGTGAAGTGGAGTGACTGTGTATCTGTATTCATAGGCTAATTAATGCAGCAGCCGATTTGCACACATCAATGTCCAACAAACAGCAATGAAATTAGTGACTGGTTTTATTTAGATGAAATGTACTGCCTGGCAATGCTTTTAATATTAACACTTCTTCCCATTGTCCATTCTGTGCATTTTTCCAGGCTATGGCTTGAGAGCAATGGTTGATGGACTATCTATTCCTCAGCCTCTCTCAATATCCTTCTGATGTTGTCCACAGTAAGATGACTCTCACGCTTGTCTCTGGCTGCCCTGTATTCCATTGCCTTTCTGCCAAAGTGGCTGAAATCAGAAACTACTTTTTGGCAGAACCTCAAGTTTCGACATGCAACAACAAACACACTACCCTATAACAAAACCAGATTTAGGTTTCGACATACTGTACCATCATGGGTTTCTAACCAGTACTCAATTTAATAGTGAGGATACATTTAAGCACATCGGGTATTACTGAACTTGTTTGGGGCTTCTTGCTAACAGATAATGATGAAGATACAGACGAAACCCTACAGGCTTTAAAGTGCAAAATATCAACAAGCAACATCCAGCATTAAACATACATTCTTTTTCTCCTCATTGGAACTTTCCCAGACATTATCAACTTTAGGAACACTGCTGCCTCTTGTGCACAGAGGTTTGATACAGAGAAACACTTGTTGGACAGAGACTGTTAAACTGAATATTGGATAATTTACAATCTCTTGGTTATCTGCTGATAGCCCAACACAATTTATTCAAGTCATTCTGTACTCCTAGTAGACAGCGTTACCAGCTTCAGGAGATAGAGGCACTAATAATGATAATAATCCTGGCATTTGATATAGCGCTTTTCACGTCTTCGAGACGTCTAAAAGCACTTCACAGAATATACTGTAAAATGAATTGATTGTATATTTGTGGGCGAAACACGGCAGCCAATTGAGCACTTACCATTTGGAAGCCATCAAAAGCCAAAAAAACACCCAACAGACAAGCATTATCTACTAGTATCAGCTTCAGCTTCCAAACTATACTCAATTTCAAGCCAATCAGACTTATTGCAGTGATTGGAGATACAAATATAATTGAGGTCCCAACAGTACATTCACGTTTGGTTTATACCAATCACATTATCATAGTCCCTGTCTGGTTTGACTCTCAAGACTGAGGACCAGCATCAGTGAGATTGGCGTGAGCTGAGAAGCTTCAGATCTGGAACAGGACAGGAACTATGCTTCAAGGATTGCCTTTTGGGAAACCTGGCAATCGCCTGTTTGGTCTCCACTGGGAGTAAACACAAATTTCAACTGGAGTCAAAATTAGATTTATGAAATTCCGCAGTTAACTTTCCAGCACTTCACATTATAAAAAGGGAAGTTGTTACATTGGAGATTGGGATATTCTGCATAACCAAAAGTGAGTGGGGTGGGGGGGAAGAAATACAATCTCTCTTTGGAATGGTTTGGGAGGCTACACTAGGCACTGATTTCAGCCCAATTATTGTTTGAAGTAAGTGGCAGCTTCATAAAAAATACAGTGAATGTAGAAGTGCAGCCAACAACACTTCAATATTAAACTGACATCAAAACTGCTGTGGTAGATGCAGAGCAAACATTAAATGCACTGAAACTATACATATTTCAGCTTGTTTTCACTCAGACAACCCTCAGGGATATTTGGTATATATTAGTGCAGAAGGATGTGTTCGGAGGTTTACAATACATGTATTTGATTTATCACATCAAAACTTCTCAAACCATTTCACTGTAAAGTGCAGTGACTGCAAATTTTTGGGTGAACGTAGCTTGTGGTTCCAGCACCTTGGCACATCCTCATGGTATGAAAGATGCTATATAAATACAAATACAAATTGTTGTTGAGCCACATGTATTGGGAGAGTGAAGGAGCTTTATTCGGACTCAATCTAAAGCTGATGTTGATATTGGATGTCCAATGTAGAAAGATATTCTATTCTGCAAGACTAATATCCTTCATCTTGACTACTAAATATAAATAAATACTATTATTAAGGTTGGAAAGATACTTGCAATTGGTCTAACCTGGATATTGGATATGTTTTTCTCTCTCTTTAAGGTAAAACATAGAAGAATGGTGCAAGTCGTTGTAGTGGGGGTAAAAAGGTCATTGGAAACCAAGTGGGAATCATAAAACGGAGAAAATCACCTGGGAAAGGATTCACCTGGTTACCCTGGCTCTAAGGCGGCAGGGAAGCTGGAGAGACAAGCGTGGTTGATGGTTTCCAGGATGCTTGGGTGATCAATGAGACGTGAAAGCAGAGATATGTCCCAGAACCTCATAAGCCAAAGCCATAACAGGTACTGAAGTCACAGCTAGACAAACATCCTGAAACTTATCCTGCTTCAGTTTTATTGTTCCCCTGGGACCCAAGTGCTTCATTGGAAGCAGCCTGCTCCAAACAGACCAGTTAAACCGTTGATTTAAAAATGGAAGAATATTAAATGGCACAATTGAAATATTTTTCAATTTACTTTGTCACCTCTTCAGAGCACTGTTATTTCCCCCACCGTTATAATGCAGAATTATCTGTGTACACAAAAAAAATCTCATCTTTTCCACCCCTTCCAACAGTTCAATATAATGACTTAGTCTCAAAGGGCAGGAAACATTAGTATTTAAGAAGAAATCCTACCACCTGTGGCTGCTTACTGCCCACCCTCCTGGGAGTGATTGATGGAACTATTGTATATGATTATTATTTAATTACATCACAAGATCTTAAGCAGAAATACTGGCAGAAAGTTTCACCACAACTATTAATCCCATTGTTTTTAAGGAACATGAAATATCCTGACAACTCAGATGGAATTTCCTGCTTTACAGCCCCAGCTGTGAGCTCTAGGCACTCTGCTGACCTGGTCTCTCTATTGAGGTGCAATACTCGGGGTGGGGGGAAGCAAACATTAACACTTTCACCACCAAAACGTGCACAGCCTTATGAAAATAAATAATTTATGGCTACTCCAGAGTGATTTATGGAGGATAACGAATACCTAGGAGTGGGTTATAGGATGGATACTAATTGAGGCATTCAGAAATTTGCATTCAGAATAATGAATAAAATGAACCACAGAAAACCAGCTTCCACAAAGAGAGAAATTTTCCCAAATTCTGCTCGATCTTACTTTTTAAGATAATGGTAGCCCACAAAATATCCAGTCAATTCACCTTACAGTATATGCCGTGAAGCTCTTTGAGACGTCTCAATGACGTGATAAGGCGCTACAACAAACAAGGATTATTATTATTAAGGATAAAACCATTAGAGATTTCAAGGCTCTGGTGGAGGCAGGATCAGCTTTGGGTGAGACGTTACACATGATTGAATAGTTTGCTGACACTTGCTCAAGACTCATCTATTAGTAATGACTTCTTGGGTGAGCTACTGATACCTGTTTAGATGTACTGCAGTGAAAGTTAAAGAGAAACTTTAGACAGAAGAAATTAATTCACAAACATCAGAGAAAATGTCCGAGGATAACATATCTTTGAAAAGTGAACATATACTGTCCAAAGACCAATTTCAGTAGCTGAGTGCCAAAGAATCCTTCAGAGAGAGTAATGACGATAAAATGTGTCAGTCTGCAGTATAAACATCCCAAACTCCTTAATACTGGAACCATCTGCTGGCAGCAGTAAGATTCTTTATTCCACACAAGGACTGGTGTCTGCAGTAGTTTAATCATCCAGATATTTGGCCTCTCATTAAATTGTGAAAGGCATATGTATGGCCCTCAGCGGCTTTGTGGGGAAATACACCATTAAGTCATCCAAACCAACAGGTGGTTTAGTCCATCAAAAGTAAATTCTTTCAAAAGTTTAATTAAATTGAGTTGAGTCCATGAACTCCAAATTGAACATGGAATAAAGAACTTCTGTTCATCTCAAAATGCTTCACAGGTAATTAATGACTTTTATGCAGGCAAACACCGCAGTCATTTGCCCCTGAAAAGTCCCACAACAAACACAGCCACTTAATCTGGAGACTGTGGCCAGGACAGCAGGGAAAAAAAAACTTACTGCTTATTTTGAATAGTGCAATGGGATCTTTAATGTCTGCTTGATCAAGTAGATGAAACCTCGGTTCAATGTTGTGTGTGAAAGATGACACCTCCAACAATGCACTGCTTCACTACAAATTGAGCTCAAGTTCTGAAGTGGGGCTTGAAACCACAACTAGAAGAAAAAGTGGTATCTTGCTATCTATTTTTATATTCTTACACAACTGAATTTATAAGACAATAGCTTAACAAGTGAAAAGATGAAGATATTACACCCACGTCCATTCATCATTATTTAATCAGAAACAGTAAAAATATTCCAGAGTATCCACACCATCAAGCATTGCAATCAGCACTTAAAATACAAAAATGTTTCAAATTGGGTACCATTCCTCTACAAATAAATAATATTCAGTTCACAGCTATTCACAAAGGGTAGTATTAAAACTTTCCTGGTGGCAACGCTGAGATACGCTGAGTTTTGATACGCTGAGAATATTTACATTGAAGTACACAAAACATGATCCAGTGCATTTTAAGTTTGCATTGTGTAAGCAAAGTGCTGGCTCGTATTTATCTTTTTTCCTTTCTGTGTTTGATCTGTATCTGAGATATAATCTCCCTGTTACCTGCTGACCAGCTCCACAAATGAAGGGTCTAGCAGCTGGAGAAGCTCCATGTGACCGTCACCTTGACCAGACCTAAGGTCTACCTCAGATTGTCACAGGTACCTCCTACAGCTCTGCACAAGTGATGGAGACAGGCAAGGCTTCAGAGCTGAGACAATGGAGGACTGGAGAGAATATATTTAAGTGGACCCTGGTGTCTCCATTTAATGTGCATTCCTATGTATCCCTGCAGAACATCTTCTAACCAGGGCCCACGGTTCTAACATTCAAGTTAAAGGCCATTTTTACATTTACACTGGAACCCAAGGTAGGAAATTAAATGGGATATGGATCAATTTGCTTTTAGAAAGGCAAAGTATGCAACACTCAGAGCTGATTAGTGGCACTGCATGGGGTTCCCATCTTATCTGAATAAGCGTGGACAAGAACTGCTGGCAGGAGGCTATGACAACAATATTTACCCTGACTCATATTTGCCAATTAACTGAAATCCTATGCAGCATTTGTTGCAAAATCAGGTCCCATATTACAAACACCTGAAAACGAGCAATTAATTCTGTGCATTTAAATCATTGCTTTCCTCACAGAGCCATTTTCACTCTCTCTTCAAACTTGTTATGGAGTCTCCCATTTGAAACAACTGCAACACTGACTTTTCTAATCTGTCTGTGTTTTAACCTGCAGTAGAGTGAGGTGAGGCTGCTGAAAGACTGCAGTCTCTTCAAAGTGCAGTAATTGTGATAGAAAAAAATAGAAAATCACTTCTCCGAAATTTGTGCTTATTACGTAAAGAGAGTAAGAGTTACTAGGTGCTTCCAACTCCTTAAACTGGTTAGTCCTCCCACCGGACAAGAGCTGGACATTTTTGGGGTTACCTGACCTGCTCCTGAAGAACATTCTAAGATCATAATTTTCCGGCTATTGATGCTGTGACAGATTAGCACAATAAATCATGTCCCAGTGCACTCCCTTAGGCACTATTTGCCTTTCCTTTGTCTGATACATGCCTATAAAGGCACAGGTCGCCCAACCTCCTGTTAGCTCACAGTACTCAACATCCTCCCTGGAATAATCCCTCATAGCGTTCAATGAGCAACTCTTCACCATATACTCTTGGCAATCAGCACACTGCCATGGTTCATTCCCTAATGGAGTTTAATGTCCACCCCTCATGGCGCTATTCAGTGCTGCCTCCTGAGGACACTTGACCCTTCTCCTCTTCACTGACAGCTTCAGCACTCCTTCAATGGCATACACCCCCCCACCCCCCCCACCCACCACATGATAAATGACGCCTCTCCTCTACACTTGTCTAATTAGTCACCTTGTTTCTGGTAGCCTCACAATACCGGATTGTTCCCTGTAGTAAGTACCCACACCAGGACTTGAACAACAAGGGGAAAAAATGAAGATTGAAAAAGCAAGAAAGAACAGAAAAAATAATCACTCATCTTAAAAATTAACATTGTCAAAGTGAGCTTTCAGAAATAAATCACCCTCCTTCCCTGTGGATCTACACATTAGATTGATTAACAGTGAGTAACATTCCAAACAACAATTTTTTTAAGTCAATAGTGGAATTCTTTTTCCAAATGTACATAGAAATTCCCTAAACAAAGACCTTTTCATTCTCTATTCAAAAAAACCCATTAGGCAACACTTTAACCCTTCTCATTTTACACGACGAGGGGGAATTAGATTGAACAAATGTTAAAAGTAGCGATGCTGTAGCGCAACACTTTCAAACATTAACAAATCCCCACCTTCAGAATATTTCAAAGGTTTCTTTTTCCTTGAAAAACATTAAATATTTATCCACCTTTTGAGAAAAAAAGAAATCTGTGTTGGTTCTTCCCCCAGTGCTATGCTGGTTCTGGAAAGTGAAAGCAGTAAAATAGGTCCTTGCTGACTTGTGCCAAATTCCCTCTTCTTTTCAACTCGTGTCCTGAGATCATTAGGGTTCACCTGAACAGGCAAAATGAACTTTGGTTCAACAACTCCTCAGACAATACAGCACTTCCACAGCATTGCGCTGGAGTGTCAGACTGGACTATGAGTTCAGGACCTGATGTGGGGCATGATACACAAATCTTCCAACCGAAAGGTGAAAACGACGCCAGAAGAGGCACAAATTTCCCTTTCTGTAATGTCTACAGATCTATTATTCTTGTGATTCGGGGGAAATCGGGGGAGGAAAGAGCAAATATTTCAAATCAAATCAAATGCTCACTTCTCTTTAAATTATGAGTTTCATTAAATGAAGCAGATAATTCCTATTCACTATCAGATAATGTTGACAGAGCAGGACTGAACAAAAGCAAAACATGAGTTAACAGCAGGCATAATTCCAGCAATGCATGTCTAGAACTTTTCCCACCACCACTTAGTGCTCTTGTACTTACTGTCACACATTTCTGAAGATTGTTAAAATATCGGGAGGGACAGGTGAAGAGAGAAACACCACCAACATGACACATAGAGCGATGCAACTATCACTTGTACACATGAGGGTCTTTTTTTTAAAAATATAAGTTTTAGGAAATATAAAAATCCTCCATTGTTAGAAAAGGCTGAACGTTTCAGTAAAAGGGAAATAAAATAATCTACTTTTCTATCCCATGTGTTTGATATCAAAATTCTTGCTCAATGTTCAAGTATCTGTTCTATGTAGTTGAACAATGTTATATCCTCCTGCCAATTTTTCCCCAAAGTGTCTATGAAGTGGTCAGATTACCTTAAAGTCTGTTGGCTCTGAATATACTTTGCTGGTCAGTCACACTTTTGCTGCTCCCAGAACTAACAGATGCCTCACTTTGGACAGGGAGGGATTTGGGGGGAGAAACAAAGGGATAAATGTAGGTCCGGTTTAAACCAGCCTGTGGTCATCTGATTGAGCAGTAATCTCAATTGAGAAGTTCAAGCTAGGTTCATTCAGACCCTGCCATGTTAACTGCAGCTACCCATGCATGTTCATGCATCCTGTGCAGGGCACAAATATATATCTGTGTTCACATACACATACAGACTGTATTTGTTTTGGTTCTGAATGTCGAGATGAGGGGACAAGAGAGGGGGTTCCAATTTCAGTAATGCAGGAAAGTCCCAGCTAGACTCCAAGTTTCCGAAGGCTGTGCAATATTGAGCTAGTGCTTTGCATTTCAACTCTAAAGTCACTAGAAGATAAACAAATTATTGGATAAAATCTAATTTTCTTCCTTACCGATAAGAGTATAGAAAATCTGGTCTGCCACAGTGACCACCTTTGTTACAACGATCAATCCATTAACAGAGTCCTCAGTATAACTCTCTGCGATTTACCAAAGATCATACAATAAGAATTTGCCGCTTCTCAAGTAAAGGAACTGTATAAATCATCTTCCACTCCTCAATGTGGTGCTCATCACAACTTGGCTCTGAAACACAACGTTATAGAAAGTTCTAAGCTGAGAATTAAAACATAAGTACAGTAGGTTGGTGCAAAATGTATTTCCCGCCTCTAGATTTGTGACTTTTGTGACTGTTAGAAAACACTTGTGAAAAATTAACTGGAGACATCTAGTGCTGTTTCTTACCACCCACCTCCTTCCCCCATTCTGCTCTCTATCACTGTACCCGTCAAGTTACATTGTCACACTTCAACAACTTAAACAACTATCAGTTGTGCGAGTTTGAATAAAATCTTGCATGAAAATAAAGTTTTTTTTGTGGGTCTGTGGCTAACTACACAGACCATTAACAAACATAGAAGTCCATCAATTTGAAGGTTAGTGAGGTTGTTTGTCAAGATCATTAATCCAGTCTGTCACTCGGTGGTTGGGACGACGAGGTGGCTTGGAGAAAGGAGCACAAAATCTACTTTAGAAGCACCTCACTTGGCTACGAATTGGAGGTCAGAGCATGCCAAGGCTCTTGGTGGTTTGAGCGTTGGGGGGAATCCAGAATACAAGCACCAAATTCTTTCCATCCTTTCAGAGAAAAGACAAAGAGTAATAGACGGACGAGGGACTGTCTGAGGCCACTGGCTGCCAATCAAAATGTTCATTTTCTTCCTTACTGACAGACACAAGTCTGATCAGGCTCTCAACCCTCTTGAGTTTCTCCCAGAGTAAACTGTTGGTGAGTTAGAAGAAATGCTCTGCTCACAGTATTTGGAAAATCTTATGTTTCTCCTTCTTGCAGCTGTGCATGCATGTTTGCATCCGGCAGCATTAGTTGATCTTGGAAAAGTGTAGCAGACGTACTGATCTCTCACCATCAATTGTTTGTCCAGTAGCCAAGTTCTCAGGGTGGAAGGGAAGGCCTCTGGCACGATCAGTTTGTTGATATGGGTTAATCATGGACTCTGTGGTTCCTCACAATATTGCACTGAGTAGATTCATTGCTTAACGTTGCAAAGCCTCAGCTACAGCATACCAAATCCTTCACTGCCTTCATTGATGGCCAATTTCAGCAATTTGTGCAGTTCCTCATAGGAATCATAGGTAGGAAGGCACAACTGGTTAAAACTATTTAGGTGTGAAACAAAAAGGAAATAATCAGTGCAATGTTAATTCTTATAAAATGGACAATATTCTTCCCAGTCACCATTATTATCAAAATAATATACATTGAATGATTAGGAAGCTAGATTCCAAAATAATGGAGAGACCTTGCCTACTGCTCACAGGGTGTCAAAAGAATAGAATCATAGAATCTTACAGCACAGAAAGAGGCCATTCGGCCCATCGGGCCTGTGCTGGCTCTTTGAAAGAGCTATCTAACTAGTCCCACTCCCCACTGTTTCACCATAGCCTTAGAGGGGAAATAGAGATGACACGTTAGCTTTTTGAGATGAGTCATGACTTGTACACATGTGGTACACGATAAGCGTACATAGACCTGAGTGCCTCTTAACCCCTTATTCTTGACAATTTACTGCATTATGGAAATGCAATTCCACCTAAATCTACGTTTCAAAGCTGGTTTCAAAGTTAAGACTGAATTCAACAGTTTGTGAAATCCAGGCACTGGAAATACTACATCAATACAGTAAATCTAAACCCAAGTAGAATTTCTCCCTCATAGAATGATTTTTGCCTCGTAGGCTCTTCAAGTAGGTTTCGCAATTAAAACAAAACTGTAGGACTCTCTTGGACTATGCAGCCCGGCACACTGATGATGCAGTTAAAGTTGTTACAAAAGATAGGACAAAGGTTCAATGTAACTGAAAAATGATTAAAACGAATGCCAGTATTCAATCTTCAATTTATTATCTGTATATTTAAAAAGCAGCCTCTCTCGAACCCTATAACATAGACACTTACCAGGTGTGAGCTGTGGGCAGGGAGCCGTGGGTTGGTGCAGCAATGATCTGAAAGGATGGAGAAAGAGCTGCAAATCCCCCTGAAGGCAGCTGAGAGGAACCTGTGGTGAATTGCAACAAGCGAGCAAGCTCTTCCTGGGTAAAGCTGGACACCACCGTCCAGAACCACTTCATCACCTGGGAGGGTCAGGGAGACACGCTGTTTATTTGCCTCAAATGGTTAAGTCTTAGGACGTTCTCCTGACCGAAAAAGGCGCTATACAAATGTAATTTTGTTGTTGTTATCAATCGCGATTTCTTCATTGCTGAAGAGTACCAAACAATAGTAATTACAATCTTTACACTTGATACAGCGTCTTTCACATTGGGAGGACGTCTCAAAGCACTTCACAGGATATACTGTAACTGTGATTGTGTATTTTATGGGCGAACATCGCAATCAATTTGCACACAAATATGTCCCCACAAATAGCTATGAAGAGAATCGCTAATTTTAATCATTCCTTGCACTTCCTGGTTTTTCAAAGACTCCAAAACAGTGGCATTATGGTCTTTCTCAGCAAACACTGAACACTCCACCGTAAAATGTGCTTTTTTTTAAACTACAGAACTGATGCCATTTCCTCACATAGTTAGCTTAGTCCTCTTTGAAATTAAGCTTCTTGAAACTAAGGTCTATTATTATGGTTAACTAACCATTAACATTAATACTAATTAAACATCATCACACATACTTGCTGTGGTAATGTGTATTGAAGCTAAAAAGAGGCTTTCAAGTACTGGAAGATTGAGTGTTACAAGGCCATTACTGGGTACAGCTCTAGTACAATATCTTGTACAGCACTTGTTACCTTCTCTCGGAAATGCCAGGATCCTCCAACAGTGACGGCATGGGTTTTGAAATCAGCCACACTGATATTGCCCGTCCCACACATCAACAGCTGGAAGACAGTTCAATACGATTTTAATATGAAGAGGGTTATCATAACTCAGAATGCTCTGCCACAGGTGGCTTCTGAATCTAAAGCCATAATGTAGCACTTAGCATTCCTCATCCAACACAACATTCAGCCATAAACCTCTTACGAGCATTTGTGTGTTGTACTCTGAAGTGTCCAATCTACGCACTGCCTATTTGGTATGACCGAGCCAGCTTTCTAGGTGGGTTAACGCCATTTAGTGGTAGGAAAAGAGTAGTGCAGGAGAAGTCTCAATTTACTTTATAATCTCCACAGAATCCAAATCCATCAAAAAGAGCACAAAGCTTTTCTTCGTTAGTGAATCAGAGCACTACATTTATTATGGTACGCAGCCATACACACCAGGAAAGTTCCACATTTGATCCTGGTTTGAACTCCACCGGGTAAACACTGGAACTTTTCCAGGTCAGATAATTGAACCTTCTCCTCTTACACGACACGCTTCAAAAGTACATGGATTTATATTGCAATGTAGGAGACTGATTATAATAATAATAGACTTTATATCGTCAGTAAACCTCGATAAAGGTGAATCTTTAAGAATATCAATATTGAAACATGTCAGAAAGCACAAGCATTCTAACAAATCTAGCCATTTTGTCTCAAAAAGCTTGCCATTACTCAATACCCTTGTATTGCGGTGCTTGTAACACAAACAGACATCTATAATGCAACGTGCTATAAAAATGTAATTTGTTGTTGTTGGATGCCCAGATATTAGCCTGAAAATTAACGCCCACTGTACTGAACCAACTACTCCAGGTGTCACAACTTACCTCCAACTCATTTTCATCAAATATAGCCAGGAGATTTTCTGGAATTAACTCATTTAAACCTTTAAAAAAAGAAGAAATAAACTTTGCACACTTAAAACAGTATTTAAAATGATTTCCTTTTTTTAAACAAATGTTAGACAATATAGTTAGTATTTATCCTAATAAAACTATATGATTTTGTCATAGACAAGAAAAATAATATCATACCTTTAAGGAAAAATTCTACCTCCTGCCGCACCTGATTTGCCAATCTGTATTGAGCAAGCATGTTCAAGTAGAAGATCTTGTTCTCATTGGTTACAGGTATCTGTGCGCCTCCAGCGATCAGCTCAACAACCTGAAAATGTTTGAATAAAACATGAAATCCTTTCACACTGACAGCTGTACAGCGGTGGGTACTTACTGGTGATCCGCTCGTCATCAGAGAACCCAATATCAGTAAATTAACAGGGAGAATCTCAAATCAACTTCCAGTGTTTCAAACTGGGACAGACAAGCACTGCTGGTGGACAGCTAGAATGGTCTTGTGGAATACATGACTGTGAGAGGCTTGGCTGGTAAACCCCTTCCAAGCTGACTGTCACTCTCAAGGCTTAAACATAAAGAATGGCTTTGCGAGGGAGGGCCTGGAAGGCTGACAAAACCGCACCAACAGCGAGTCCCATCAAAAACAAAGTAAAATGACAGGTTTTAGGCTGCCTCGAGATAACAAACACTTACCTTGTCCAACTGCCCTGACTTGTTATATTTCTCCTCAGCAAAGACTAGATCCATCTCACTGACATCGTTCTTCAGGATGTAACACACTTTACTCTTGTAGAACTCCGGATCATCAGATGCAAAGTACTGTGAACAAAGGCAATGGGACAGAGAAAGAAATTATGATCACAGGGGGCAGCAATGTGTGGCAGTGAAGTTGAACAATGGCAGTGATTAGCTTATGTTTGTGTTTGGCTTATGTAAGTGAAAAGGAAATCATACAGGTGGGGGTGGGTGGAAACAGTGAAAATGAGCTTGAATGCAAAAGCGCAGTGTACATCTTATGTTGCAAAAAGCATCTTGAGATGTAAACTTCGCCTCTTGCAGGGAACTAACATACATCCTGCTGACTTGGTCTCGGAAATCATTCCCTGTAAGAGGGAACCTTCCTGTCCTGATGTACAGCACCGTTCATCCCATTCAAGCACGTTATCAACCCGCAAGAATGATATTATGCAGTGCCTTTCACGTTGGGAAGATGCCCCGGATCCTCTCGCTTGCAAGGCGAGTGCTCTAACCAACATCATAAAACAGGACGTTCATTACCTTGTAATGCATTCGGAGTCCAATGATCTGTGCCAGGAATGAGCGGGTGAAGCGTGCACAAACCAGCTGCTTATAGCCTCCTCCCTGTGAGCACTCGTACAGGCACTTCCCAACCACTCTCCCTGCAAACTCGTAAATCTTAGGGCGCAGGTGAAGTGCTCGATCAGGGTTTGGGTGGACCTGCAAAGCAGCAACAATTTTAATTCCCATAGTCGTTCAGGGAATACAACTCATTTATTCCTTTACTTTATTCTTTCAGAAAATGCAGCAACAGGAGCTTTTTTTTTCCTCTGCACAACTTTATGAACAAAAATACCGCAAGTCTAAAAACATTATTCACAAATAAAGATTAAAACATGCAAAGATTAGTAAGACTAACCAATAATAACTTTAAATATTTTTTTAAAAAATTGATAGAATGCTTTTCACATCAGGAGAGTGCCTCAAAGTGCTTCACAGGATTTATTGTGAAGTAAAGGACTGTATTTTGCAGGTGAACCCGGCAGCCAATTTACACACAGCAATTTCCCACAAACAGCCATGAAGTGAATGATCAATTTAATTTGGGGGACCGTTGGCCAGGATACCAGGAGAAAGTGCCTTCTCTTTTCGAATAATGCCATGGGATATGGAGGCAACAGAGCAGCTAACAGCAGCAAGCCAACTTTCAGAACTCCCTCCTCTTTGTCTACTGTGGATGTAATGCTCTTTGTAGTTTAGTGTATTTCATCTTTCTGTGCTTATAATGCAATTTCCATTATCTGTGGATGCCGTCAAGGTATGCTAAAACACAGGGCATTGCTCTGAAATGATACTGTAAGAACACAATTCAGGACACTTTAATTAAGATTAAACATTAATCTTTAATTTTGGCAAATTTTGGATCAAACCAAAAACGTGTGTTTAACTTACCAGCCCTTGGTTATTATCACTGAAGTGCATGAACAGACCATTGCTGGTGTCAAAAAGAGCTTTGCAAGTCAACTCAAACCACTCCCTGCGGGGTCCACCCCAATCTAGTGCTAAATCACACAAAATGCACCATTAGAAACCTGCATTATCACGTAGGGAAATAATAACAGTAATACAACTTGGATTTAACCTATATTAGGTCAAAATGTCTCTCGACACTAGTTCCTCTAAAGTATAGTAACCATTATGCCAGCAATGTCCCACAAACAGCAAGCGCTCTGGCCAAAGATCATATGCAGACTGTTTTTAGTAAATTTGGATGAATGAGGATATTGGCTTGGACATCAATCCTTACTCGTCTTTAAATTACAGTCAGACGCAACTGTAACGCGGTCCTTTGTATCTATACAGTATGCCAGCCAATGAGTGCCACGTGTATTGTCTTCCTGCATAGCATGGACTCACAGTACACTGGAGGAGTTCAAATTGGGTTCAACTGAAGGATCAAATGTTTTATTAAAGGACAATGCCTCAAACAATGTAGTATTTACTGGATTATCAACCCTAGATTAAGTAAAATCACTGCACAGCTCAGACACAATAGATTTCAGAGGTTTGGGAGCAGGTTGATAGGCCTTTCACCAATAGTGACAGAATGTGGAAATCACTGAGACAAGAGCAAATCATCAAACCTAAAATATAATCCATCACAAGACACCATTGTATTCATTCCCTTACTATCTCGCCTTACATTTCCTTGGTAATTTGTGTCAATTTGAGAATAGTTGTGCAGTTAAGAGTTTGGACAAAGGCAATCTAGTTAACAATTAGGACCAATAAAAAGATTGGTTTTGTTGATAAGATCACAACAACAACAACAAGATTCCATTTATAGAGCGCCTTTCACGTCGGGAGGACGTCACAAGGCGCTGGAATGGTTTAGAATCCATTTGATCTTATCCTTCCAGAAAACTCAACTTTCTCATTACAACATCAAGGTGGTTTCTTAAATATGCCTAGTGTTCTGGCCTTGACTACCCTCTGGTAATATATTGCAGCTGTGATTACCCTCAGTGTAAGGAGTTATTCCCTGAATTGTAATCGTAATGCTGAATCTATGCCCTTTTGTCCAGCTGTCTTGGCATACTCAAAAGGGTGGTTCTGGTTTTCTTTCTCTATCACAATTTAGCATTCCCAATCCCTTTCAGACTTTCCTGAATTTATACCTGATTGAGAATTTTTGAGATTCTTATGCAATACATCACCCAGTCCCACATCATAATATCTTGTGTCTCAGTTGAAACTCTCAAGACCAACCTACATCAAGCATCTCTCTGACCTCCTTTAAAATAACCTTAACAAAACTCTAGGCTATCAAGTTAACATGAAAACTTCCTTTATTTAACCCAGGGCCAGTTGAACTCCACATACAGAAAAGTTTGCCTCATTAAAGAGCACACAAATGTTTTCAATGTTTCTGCCGTTTAGCACTAACCTTCCTCGTCTTGGAAAAGTACCTCGAAATTCCTGCTCCAGTCGGATACAGAAAAGTTCCTTGTGGCCTTTATTGACTGGCAATTATAAATATTTGGAAGCAAAATTTAAAAGAAAAAAGGTTATCAACCAGAATTGATTTCAAACTCCTAAATCCTTTATGAGAAACTTTGTTGAAAAGTTTTTTTTTAAATCCTAAATAACATCAAACTAAGATGCAATACTTACTCAGCTACTTGCTGCATAAATATACTAATAAATATTAAATGACATATTAGAAGAGTTGCGGAAAACCTTTTTTTTTTGGTCAGCTGTGAAAACCCACCATCATGCATCAATCTCTACATCAAGATTATCCCAACCAGGCAGAGTGTGCCACTGACACGTGGCCACTTCCCTGCACCTGGAGTGGAATGCACACACTCTCTCCCCGGAGAGACGCATCCACTTACCTAATACTGGAAAGCATGGGGCGCAGATTAGCAAGAGCCAATTTTGGGGGCACCTAAGAGTATGTTTGAGATACTGTTGGGAGGTTAATCAGCTAAAACCATGTGGAATGCTTCTTATAAGGGAAGCAACATCAATGTAATGATAGGGTTTAAGAAGCACATTATATTCAGATAGGTAATGCCACAGTCTAAGAGAATTGTAGTGCAAAGCATTATTATACTCACAGATTCAAGAAAACCGAAGCGGCTGACTTTCAACAGGACCTTGGTTCGCGGTCGTCTCGTGTGCATTTGGCGGAGTTCCCGCTGGAAAAAATTTACTTTGTCCTGGAAGGTTTCAGATCCGCCTGGGAAGAGGGTGGGGCAGAAGGGGGACACAAATGTAAACAGGTGTCACGATATCACCACAGAATACACAGGAGACAACGTAAAAACCTGTGGCACGAGATTTAGGTCTTGGAAGCGCTATGGCCCGGAAACTCAAAGCAGGTAGGGAACAAGTTATCATTAGCCAATGGGATAAAAAGAGCAGCTCGCAGTTTCATAGTGTAGATAAAAAGATATTGTGCAGATGGGAATATTTTAATTTGTCTCTCTATCAGGTGCCGGCATGAGGAGGGAGAACTTTAACTCATCTATATTTTCCTCCTTCCCACTGACGTGGTGTGACGAGTCTGAGTACAAAACAAGAGTGATAAGGTGATGATATCAAGAACACGTGCTGATCCAGGAAAGTACCGTGCACAATAATTCATCCATAGATTTTCTCAAGTTAAATATTCTTAAGCGATACCAACAGACCGACCAAACAAAAAGGGAGTCAACCACTTGCAATCCTTACCAATGTTTTTATGCAAAAAGCTGATGAATGTGGCCACCATGATGTTTCTGTCTTTACAGCTGAGCTCCACAGGAGGTTGTATCCCGTCGTCCACCACCAGGGTCAGCAGCTTGTGCAAGGGGTCTGGGCCATGGTAGTAAAACTGGGAAAGAGACACAGTGCTCAGTGTTGCTCTCCTTCAATTTCCAATACATTGTGCCACTGAGCAGGGAAACATAGATCAATGATCACAAACAGCAGCATGATAGGTTAAGGCTGAGTTGGAGTTCTAATTGTTTGCACTTGATATTGCACCTGTGACTTCAGGAGGACATCTCAAAGTACTTCACAAAATATACTGTAAAGTGTATGCTGTGTACTTTGTAAGTGAATGCTAAGTTGAGCAGAGCACAGTCCTTTATTCAGCCACTCTAATAGCAACTCTAACCCAACATATTCTGTTCCTACCTTTCTCCTCCTCACTAATTCTAATATTGGGATCAGTACAACGTTCAAACCCACCTTTGTTCCCGGGCAAACTCTGAAGGTAGAAAGGCGCCAGGGGATGATTTTCAGGTAAAACTCTTTCACTGAGAATTGCTGCAAGACACAAATAGAAATGAAAACCAGCTGACTAACAAACTGCTCTACCGGTTCAGTCACATTTAAGTAAGTCTTATTTTTTTTTCATGGACTGAAGACAGAAGACATTGCATTTGGCACCAAAGACTAATGGTAGGACATAGGCTCATCTTCCAGGTTTCACAGTTATATTCTGCCGCAATGTTTTTGGATCAGGCAGATAGGGGGGAAAAGAACTGAGAGGAGGAGGGGATAGGTTCTGAACAGAGAAAAAAATAAACGGAGAAAAATCTAATAGACAATCAGGCTACTTTTGCTGTTTATAAATGATCAATAAAAAGATTGTCAGAAGCCTGGGAACCAGTTCTTTCCTTCCTCTCTTGGACAGAGAATGGCACCAGAAGGAGCCAAAGATGGAAAATAAATAATTTGTTTTGTACGAAGCAAAATTGGGTGTGTGTTTGATCCAAAGTTGCTTACATTCAACAAAATTGCTTCATAAAATCAGATTAGTAAATCTCACCCACTCATCGAGCCTCTACATACCTTGGGTGATATGTAGCAGTAAACCTTCTTGGGTTTCTTCACTTTCTGGTTCTCCTGATCTAGGTCTCTCTCATCATCTTCCTCGTCCGTGGTGATGGAGGGGTGTCTGCCTGTGGTGCTGCCTGGTGTTGCTGTCGGCAGCTGCCACTGAGCTTCAGAGTGGTTGGCCGTGCTGTACAGATAGGCCTCAAAGTAAACGCTGATTCCTGGCGTAGACACGTTCTTCTCCACTGTGTACTTTTCATTTTCTGGGTTTTTTGCAAAAGAAAATCAAAACTACTACTGCTAATAATAATAATCCTTGCATGCGTTATAGTGCGTTATCACGTCATTGAGATGTTTCAAAGCGCTTCAAAGAATTTACTGTAAAGTGAATTGACTGTATATTTGTGGTGAAGCTAAGTGAAACATGTTTACATTTCCAACCCCCTCCTCGTTCACACACACTAGCTGGCTGACCTCACAGCGGGGGCTGCTCTATATCGGGATGAGATCAAATGAACTAAAGACTTTCTTCATCCCACCTCATCTTGTGATCTTGTGAAATGTCACTCTGTAGGCAGCTCAGGGACTGGACTCTGTGGAGGGAAATCTCAAATCCTACTCACCTGTGAGGACGATGATGTTGAACTCCCCGTTGGCAATGAGCTGGTCCCAATAGGTAATGGATGCCCGGAAACAGCCTCGTACCCATAGCGTGAAATTCAAAAACACTTGGCACGTCATCTTACTGGAAGAAATGGAGTTCTCAAACAAAGCATCTGAGGTCTCGTTTTCAGGGAGGCCAAGCTGAAATACAACAATTTGGATGTGTGTCAGTCAGTCAGCTTCACACCAGCTGCCTCAGGCATGAGCTGGGACGTTTCTAAGAGGACAGGAGAGAATTTTAAGGGGAAATGAACAAGCAAAATTTTTTAAAAACTCACCCACAACTCCAAGAAAAATAAATGTTGAAGCTTTTTTTGGTTTGTGTTAAATGTTTCCTACTCACCTCTCTAACCTCCAGCTTGTAATTGTCCTTGTCAACAATGGCCAGTGCGTTGTTTGTCGGATTATCATACTCGTCACGGGGTGCGATCTCCAGCATGTGCTGTTCTCCCACTGTCAGCACCAGTGTCGAGAAGTGGTAGAGAATTTTCGTTTTTGTAGGAATCACTGGTCCTAAAAAAAGAAAGGAAAAGAAAATCCTTGAGTCTTTCAGTCATTGTGTCTGCAAATTTAATATTTTGATGCAATTTCTGTAGCATTTTGGTCATTTGGTGTATGGACTCCACAATGCACTGCCTCAAAGGGAAGCAGATTTGATAGTAGGTTTCAAAAGGAAATTGGATGTTACTTATAAAGGAAAAATTTGCAGGGCAATGGGTAAGACTGGGGGAGTCGCACCACTTGGAAAGCTCTTTCAAAGAGCCGGCACAAGCAAAATGGGCCAAATGGCCTCCTGCTGTGCTGTAAGATTCTATGACTCAGATCCAGTTTGGATTGGGCTGGCAATCAACAGTTGGGTTGGCCAAAGCCAAGTGGATGCCTGGTACCTCCCAAGAAGGTGAGAAATTAGAGGAAGTGTCACGCAGGCAACTCCATTTGCTGAAAGTGAAGAGACTTGGCACAAGTTGTTCAGCCAAAGCTGGTATACAATGCAATAATCTACAAGAAGGTGAAGAGGAGAAGCATTAACTTGTTTAAGGGGATATTCACTCCTAAAAGGGAGAGGGGGAAATAACACAGACAAACACAACCACCGCTTGGACCTACCGGGCTGAAATGTTTTGTGGTATGGGCTGTAGGCAACGTTCAATCCTCCGAGTTTGACTGCAATTTCATACCTTCCTGCTTTCCGCACAGTGAAGCCCACCTTGATCACGTTGCTGTTCTGCTCCTGAAGCACCTCCTGTGTGACAGGAACGTCCAGCCCCAGTTCCAGGTGAGAAATGTGAATGTGTAATCCCACTGGGTGATGTGCTGGGAATGGCTGCCCATTCTTGTAGAATAACTGCACGCACAATATTCAGGGAAAAAATGAACATTAATCTTTTGTATACAGTAGTCACCTAACACTATCTGTAAAACAAAGCAAGAGAAGAAAGTACTAACAAATGTTACACTGGATCCACGGACAGGTGTGTAAAAGAAGGAGCCCCGTTTCATTGGAGATGTGGGTTGGAAAAATATTATTATAATTATAAAAATCTTGCATTTGATATGGCATCTTATCACATTGTTGAAATGTTTCAGAGTATTCACCGGAAAGTGTAGTGAATGTGCATTTTGTAGCCAAAGTGCACACAGAAATATCCCACATAGCTATGAACTGAATGACCAATAGAGGATTGTAGGCCAGGATACTGTGAGAAACTCCTTTCTCTTTTGTGCTATTATTGGGTTTCTGCTTCATTGATTTTCAGGGAAGGTCTTTTGAGGAGCTTTTTCCTCCAGGAGATAAAGTGGGCTGAAGTCCATGGTAGGGTAGGTGGCCCATGAAGCGAGCAGCCTTGTTGAGCTGTGCAGACAATCCATGCTTTCTTAAGAGCTACAAAATAAATAAAATCACCCAAGGAATATAGTTCTATCATTTAGTATTCAGAAAAAAAATGGGGCGAGGGAGAAAGGCAGTTAAAAATATATAGTGTTAGTCTGGAGCCATCAGATAATTAATTCCCTGCTGCTTTAGTGTGATGAAACCATTGTCTCAAGAATCAGCATTGACATTTTTGGGGAAGAAATTCAGGTCCAAGACTTGACAGAGAAGCACTATAGGAGATGGTTATTTTTTGTACTACTGGTTTATTTAAATGGGCCAGAGCTAAAATTAAGCCATTGTTTCTGACAGAGATTTCTACTGTAGTGCTATTTCACTGGCCTATCACATTTAAGTGCATGGTTTTCTGCCTCCACCAATTTATAAAAAATTCTGTCCTCTCTTAGGAGGTAAGAGTAGCGTTAAGCCCAGTACAACAATATACAGACCAGAGGCTGTAGATTCTTTGTTAGCTGATCTCAGCCAGGACAAGAGTTGAGGCTAACATTGGCTTTAACTCTCTTGTGACAGGGAAATGGAATCAGCTGAGACTCGCACCTCTGATTGCCATCCAGAGACACTCAGGTTCCTAGAGACGTTTATATCGAGTGAGAACAGCACTGGGTCTGGTTGCGGTGGGATAAATAACCTGATATTAAAGTCAAGATTATCAATATTACAGCTGTTTGTGGGACACTGCTGTGCGCAATTGGCTGCCGTGTTTCACCCACAAAATGTAGTCAATCCACTTTACAATATATTCTATGAAGCATTTTGACACGACTCAAAGCCCTTTGGCTTGACTACACAAACTCATTGCTTGTCGGCCTCCCCAATTCCTCCCTCCACAGGCTGTAGCTCATCCAGAACCTGTGTCCTCTCCCGCACTAGGCTCCATGACCCTATATTCCCCATCCTTGCCTAACTCCACTGTCTCCCCATCACACAGAGGACCAAGATCCTGGTCCTCACCTTCAAAGCCCTCCATGGTCTTGCTCCCCCTGACCTCTGCGACCTCCTAACCCCCTACCATCCTTTTCGCTCTTTCTGCTCAGCGGGCTCCAGCCTGCTTCACATCCCCGTCTTGCCCACCCCACCGTTGGCAGGCAGGACTTCTTCCACTCCACCGCTATCCTCTGGAACTCCATCCCACAGTCCCTCCACCTCGTCCCCTCCCTTGCCTCCTTGAAGACCCATCTCAAGACCCTCCTCTTCGACCGTGCTTTCGATCTCCCTGCTTTCCTCCCCCCACCCCACGCCCTCCACAAACCCCAGTTTGTGTCCGAAACTCTGTCCAGCACCTTGGGAGGTCCTCTGGACATGTAAGGCGCTATACAAATGTAATTTTGTTGTTGTTTCAACAACATGATAAGGCGCTATATCAAGATTATTATTATTAAGATTCACACATGAAGAAGGGCTATTTAGGCAGAATATCTTATCCCCAGTAAAAGGAAAAATGGGTCAAAACGTCTTCAGGAAAAATGAAAAATATGTGGAGTAAAAAAAATCAAAACAAAAACATAACGAGCGCCAGCCGGTGCTGATGCAGTGGGATTCTCAGCCCGTTACAAAAACAATCCATGAGATTTAACATTACAGACTGACATGCACTCGGAAGGTCATGATGTGGCCCACTTCCTGAGGGTCCTTCCAATCCCAGGTGACCAGACAGACCTTGGATCCAGGTAGTTCCCACGGACATAGTCGTATATGGTGCGGTCCCCTCGCCTGCCCCGGTTATCATTCTGAACAAAGCTGACGACTCGTGCTACGAGCTCATAAAAAAACTTGAGAGTGAAGAAGAAGGCAATGATGGACACTGTGAGGCCACCTGTACAAGGACAAACAAATGACACTGAATCGGCAAAACGTAGAGAACAGTTTCCTTTTTTAGAAACGTAAAATAATGAGCAGTTTGTTTCATTAAACTTTATCCCTCTTTGCTAATACTAATACTTTATATTCTATCAAAAGCCTCTTGTTGCAAATGTATGTTTTACAAATGCAATATAAGATAGCGTCTCCCATGCTGGATATTGCCACTAGTGACTGTGTACCTGAATTAGTGACGTCTGATGGCTTTAATGGAGCAATGCAATGTTACGTCACACACTTCCTGCTTGACGGACAGATAATAAAATTAACTTTCTTACGTTGCATTTAATAAAAGCAGCCAATGCCCTCCTCCCCAACCAACCAACAGCACCACAGGGATTTACAACTCAGCTTCACTCTGTGTAAAGAATTCAAGATGTACTCACCAATAATGACAAACATTAGGTCTCTCTTTACAGTGCAAAGTGTGACACCAGAGGCAAAAACTACTGCTCCCACTAAAGAAGAGAGTTGAAATTAGGGAAACACAGTGCTCCCCAAAGATGAGGGAAAAAGAAGAGTCAGAATAGGTAGGAAACGTTAAACCTCCATTTACCTGCAGACCACTTTTTAATTCTACGCCTTTCAGCCAAGTTGTGGACGAGCTTCAACTTGTGCTCCCACTCCAGGTGTCCCCTCGTAATCTGGAGAATCTTGCTCCCGAGCTTGTGGTAGTCACCATAGAAGTAGCCCCAGCCTGCGAGAGCGACCCGCAAGTTACTGTCAAAGTGGACCAGGTCAGTGAGCGTGTTGCAGCCCAGAGACTTCAGCCTGGAAGGAGACAACGGAAAGGAAAAAATATACTAGCATCGGCAGAAAGTTCTACCAGAGCTTGTCAACTGGCAGATCCCTTTCCGGGGATAATAATCCCTCCACTTCAAAAACTTTAAGTCACTCAATTGACAACTGTTTGTGGGACACCTCTATGTGCAATTGGCTGCCATGCTTCACCCACAAATACAGTCAATCCACTTTATAATATACTAGAGAGAAATACCCATTGCAACCAAAGGATCCAATATGGAATGTAAATTGACACACAGACAGACATTTTGTCTTTATCTATACTCAGCTGGGAGGACTTCTTTGGGGAGGACTGAATGGGAGGACTTCTTTTGGGAGGACTCCTATCAAAGCTATGCAAACTGTGTGAGCCGGCAGGTGCTCGAGTTATTGCAAGACAAAAAAAAGCCATACATTTCTTGCAGAACATATTAGTAAAATGTACATCTTTAGAAGGGTGTGTGCTTTCTTCTGCGGCTACTTTGCTGCGGAAGCCATGCATACCTCCTATTTTGAGGCTTAATTAAAGCATTTTTTAAAAATAGCTCATCAACGATAGAAGATCAACCCAAAAAAATGCCCATGGCACTCACGCATGCAAGACCTTTCCGATAAGATATAAATCATGTCCCTAAGTCAATCATCTATTGCGTTATTGTCAGATACACAGACAGACCCACACACACACACTTCGTCTTTATTAGTATAGATTGTGTGAAGCGCTTTAAGAGGTCCCAATGACATGATAAGCAGCTATATCAAATGCAAGGATGGAGTTTATATATATTATTATAAAAGTATCATTGGAGATATTGCACTGTTTGTGGAACAGCACTCAATCTGAATACTCTCCTCTCACCCTGCAGACAAGAGAGCTTTTTGGGAGAGAAGGCATTATTTCAGTGATCTTTTTTGCTTTTCAGACTTACGTTTGATAGTAATGATCCAGACCATGTGAGCAGAGCCACTCCTCCAGAGCCAGCTCCTTCACTAGCTGACACTGCGCTGCCTCGATCTCCTGCACTGAGTTGTACGCCAGAGAATCTGCCTCGAGCCACGAGGAGATGCTCAGCAGAGCCAGCTCCTCCAAACTCTGTACATCTGTAAACAAAACAGGGCAGATTGAGCTGAGGCTACACTGGGAGTAAACGGGCTTTTAAATTCTCCGACTCTGCAATTCATCCGCAGCAGCAGTAACAGCAGCAGGACTGCCAGTTACACTGACTGTCCTCTTTTCAAAGGAGGCCCAAGAATCCAGAGCTATTTACAGGGTCTTTTCAGCCCAATTTTGTGAAGTTTCCCTCTTAAATGGGATATTCCAGGTAACGCTCTATCCCTGAAGATATAAATCAATCTCTCGAATTGGAATAACAACTTGCATTTATATAGCAACCTAAGATAACGTTTATATTTAATATAAATATAATATAATGGTATATCATTGGTATGCAATATAAGCACAATAGCCTGCAATCCTAACTGACAATACTGCACCCAGTTCTTCAGGATTAATGATCAATAGTTTGCAAATTTATTTATGTTCACTTCCTAATCCAATCTTCACACGACCCCACTGAACATTCCCCATCTCAGCGAATAGAATCCCAGAGTGTCGCAGCAGAAAAAAAGGCCATTCGGCGCATCCAATCTGTGCTGATGTCTTTAAGCATTCCGAGACGCTACCCTGCATGATGGGTACCATTTAAATGCAAGTTGTTGTTTCTCCACAAGCCACCAAGTCTAATCTCACTCTCCTCCTTGCTCTACACATTCCTCTGCCAACTGTTCCCCTCCGCATCGGCCTACAAAATGTCTGCTCCCTTTCTAATAAGGCTCTCGCCATCAAAAAACATTGATATCCTGGCTCTTACTGAAACCTGGATCACCCCAGGCGACACCTTCCCCCTGATTGAGACCACACCACCTGGCTATACCTTCCACCATACCCCACATCTTAACTGTCGTGGCGACGGTGTGGCTCTCATCTCCAGGTGCTCGCTTGTGCTATCTCCTGACTCCTCTGGCTCATTCACCTCCTACGAGCACCTTACCCTCTACCATCTCTCCAATCTTTCCCTCAAAATTCTCCTGATGTATCGTCCCCCCAAACCCTCCCCCATCTTCATCTCTGACATCTCCGCCCTCCTAGTTTCTCTCTGCCTCTGTTTTGAATGCCTCCTTATCCTACGCAACTTCAACCGGCACTTCACCCCCTTTTGCTCTATCTCTCCTCTCCTTTTCTCTCACAATCTCTCTCTGCACATCCACTCTGCCGCCCACATTCATGGCCACCCACTCGACCTGGTGATTACCCGAGGGCCTCAGTGTCTCGGACCTCACAATCACTGATACAGCCATCTCAGATCACCATTTCATTTCCCTTAACTCCTCAATTCCTCTCCCTACCACCACCTAACCAACTTCCTTCTTCTACTGCCCTTGGAAAAGAATCTCCCCGCACTCCCTCTCCGCTGCCCTGGAGTCGTTTGAACTCCTCCCACTCTGGCCTACCTCTCGCATCGACTTATTCTCCTTGGTCACTCTCCACAACTCCCTCTCCATCATTCTTGGTATAAAAAAGGAAAGAGCGACAAGGCCCAGAAGTCCATTAAAGCCAGGTTTAACCTCGTATCCAATATTCTAACCACATTTCTCTCCTGATGCGAGCCACTCAGTCCCTCTATCTGTTGGGAGAGGACAAGATAGAGACTCTGGCTCAGTGCCCTTTGCACATACAGAGCAACGCGACAACTATAGGAGCTTTTAGACACTAGCAAACACAAACACTTCAAGGCACAGAACTAACAGACTCATGTTTTAATTGTTTTCCTGCATTGAGCAGCTGAGAGCAGGAAACACAGTGCCACACAGATCCAATCTGACCAATACAAAATGCTGCAACAGACAAGTTACTGAAGGTCAGAATAAAAAAAAGGTCAATGGTAAAAGCACAGCTCGAAGATATCACTTCATAGAAACATCAGCAGAAGCAAAGGACAGAGTTATCTAGGTGCACTGCAGATATTTTATCCTCTTGGATACTAGCAATGGCAACGGCACATGTGTAAACGTTTCACAATGCACTCACTCGAACAGCGGTAAAACAGCCAGCAGTACAACTATAGAGTTTTGCCTTCCCAAATTTGGAGAGAAAGAGAAGAGGACTTTGATGTATATAAACAAGATGACTTGCGGAAGTAATTTGAGGTAGTGATTTAGCAGTATCATGCTGGAAGCATAATAAGGCAAATGTCTTAAGCAGGATTTTCCTGTAGTATGTTGGTACCAATAGGCTAAATAAAGCTGTCATGTTCTATGTTAACAATTGTGAGAATACGCCTTCTTGTTGTGGATTTCCCAATTAAAGGAAATCGTTTTTGCTTTTTCAGATCTCTTCAGAATCCTAAAGACCTCTTTGATATTCCTTCTCAATCTCCTCTACTCCAGATCTATCCTCATTGGAATTTGCTGTGAATGAACATAGTTATTTATTTGTGCAAATAATCTGCTGCTCTGTGCCAGTTTGAGGTTCCCTCTTCAATTTTATATTATAATAATAATCTTTACATTTGATATAGCCCATTATCACATCATTGAGACATCTAAAAGCGCTTCACAGGATATAGTGAAATGTGAATTGACTGTATATTTGTGGGCGAAACGCAACAGCCAATTGCACACAACAGGGTCCCACAAACAGTCGCGGACTGAATGACCATATTATGATGTCAAAGTATATAAGTGCATTCTGTGAGAAATGTACGAATCCCAGCAAACACCTTAGCAACTTACCTTCAAAGACATGTTTGTACTTGAGCAGATTGTTGGTGCTGAGCCATTCTTCAATACGTTTTTCTCCAAACCTTTTCCACCTGAGCTCCCAGGCAAACACCCAAAGGCAAAAGGAGAGCAGGAAAGTCAAGACGCAGAGGTCCATCGGACCATGGCAAGGTTACACGACCGAGGTCACGCAGTTTCAGGTTTCAAAATCACATGAGGAGCAGCAAGTCTGTCACAACCCTGGGCAAGCTGGTTGATGAATCCACTGCGGCAACCAAGCAACATTGGTGGCTACAAGCTGAAGTGAACCAGCGACAAGAGCAGCAGTCAATCCCACACCTGTGTATCAGCAGCTCACACCGTTGGTTTCAGGATTCAAACTGTCCTGCAAATAAGAAAATACACAATTCTTAAACGTAGTAGAAATAAGAACATTTTTAGGTATCAGCCAGGCTAAGTTGGAGGTGTTCTCGTCTCTGAGTTAGAAGGTTGTGGGTTCAAGCCCTACATTGGGACTTCACCTATGCCTGTTTAATCTAATTTGATATATAAAATATACATAAAATAATAAAATTGTATAAAATAATATATAAAACTATATATATACACATATATAATATATATAGAAATATATATATACATAAACGTGGTTACTTTCTTTATAAAAACTGTGATTGCAACATAAAAGACTAGGACTTTGCACTCTAAATATTTTCCTGCCGAGTATCCATTTGCCTAGAGCTCAGGCTATCTGGTGATTTTCTCAGTACAACTGCAGTCACATTGTAACCCAGCTTCCTCGCACCATTGAGCTCGTCCAACTAAGTCATTAATATTTACCATTTAAACACATCTTTAAGCCAACCACAAAAAGACGAATGAAGGAAGATCCAGATGCCGCAAATCACACTGTGGACAAAGGTTCAGATCAACTTTCGCTTTCATTTTCTTAAATGTCACTGATTGTCGGTCTCCCCAACTCTTCCCTCCACAGGCGGCAGATCATCCAGAACTCTGCAGCCCGTGTCCTCTCCCGCACTTGGCTCCGTGACCCTATCACCCCCCCATCCTCGCCCGACTCCACTGACTACCCATCACACAGAGGATACAGTTCAAGATCCTGATCCTCACCTTCAAACCCTCCACAGTCTTGCTCCCCCCGACCTCTCCAACCTCCTAACTCACCATCCTGCTCACTCCCTCCGCTCGCGGGTTCCGGGCTGCTTCACATCCCCCGCCTCGCTCTCCCCACTATCGGCAGGCAGGTCTTCTGCCACTCAGCCCCCGCCCTCTGGAACACCATCCCGCAGTCCCTCCATCTCTTCCCTTCCCTCGCCACCTTCAAGACCCTTCTCTATGACCGTGCTTTTGATCTCCCTGCTTCTCCCCTCCCCACCCCCGTCCTCCCTGACCCCCAGCTCGGGTGTGAAACTCTGACTGTCCAGCGCCTTGGAACGTCTTAAAAGCACTCGACAATGTTTACTGTGTACATGATTCACCAAATGGTGAATTCTTGATTTCAATCCCCCGGTGACAAATCTCTGAAACCCTCCGGTAAACGCACAGCAATAAGCTTTGCGTTTTGAGACTGGATCGGTGGCTCACTTTCTGGGGATAATAAATCTCTTGGTACAGTGAGAGAGAGAGACGCACACACACACACACACACACAGACAGACAGACAGACAGACACAGACAGACAGACAGACAGACAGACAGACAGACAGACACACAGACAGACACACAGACAGACACACAGACAGACACACAGACAGACAGACACACAGACACACACACAGACAGACACACAGACACAGACAGACACACAGACAGACAGACACACACACAGACAGACAGACAGACACACAGACAGACAGACAGACAGACAGACAGACACACAGACAGACAGACAGACAGACACACAGACACACACACAGACAGACAGACAGACACACAGACAGACAGATAGACAGACAGACACACACACAGACAGACAGACAGACACACACACAGACAGACAGACAGACAGACACACACACAGACAGACACACAGACAGACAGACACACAGACAGACAGACAGACACACAGACAGACAGACAGACAGACAGACAGACACACAGACAGACAGACACACAGACAGACAGACAGACAGCTCACTTCAATCCACGACTGTTCGTGGGACACTCACTGCTGTGAGCCATCGGCTGCCGCGTTTCACCCACAAACACACAGTCACTACACTTTACAGTGTATCCTGTAAAGCGCTTTGAGGCGTCTGGAAGCGCTGAACAGGCGCCGGGTGTAGGATTATGCAGCGGGAGGTGGTGTCGGCGGCCGCCGAGCGTACGGTATGTTTGTGCTGTCAGCAGCACCAGCGCTGACCTGTCAACCGCCCACCGCCTTCATGTCGCCCTCCTGTGTGTGAGGGCGGGAGACCGGCCGGAAGTGGAGGTGAGGTCAAAGAGCGTCAGTTGTCGCGCTTCCGGTGACGTCAGTGGCGAGCGCCGAGAGGCAGCGCGAGAGGGAGCGGGAGGCCCGGGGCCGCCGCACACACACACACACACACAGAGATGGTAAATACCGTCACACAGTCTCTGCGCCGCGCGGACCGTGTAACACACACACACACAGAGCCACGATCTCATTCTGATGGATGGGGACCGGGGCTGCGGAGGGGCTGCGGGGCCTCCTGTTCCCCACAAACACTCGCCATCATGTTCCTTGCGGTTGGACTCGGCGCCTCATCACATCGTGGAGACGTCTCAAAGCGCTTCACAGCTTTTAGTGTAAAGCGAATTCACTGCAGTTTGTGGGTAAACACAGCTGCCGATGACGATGATAATAATAGTAATGATTTGGATGCAGTCTGTGTGACTGTATCGTCCTCAGTTGGTTATTAATATCATGAATCTTGTTCTCAATATCACTTTTGTTTCTGCTTTTAGGGAAAAGCAAAGAAGACTAGAAAATATGCCACGATGAAGCGGATGATTAGCCTACGAGACGGCAGAATGTAAGGTTATATAATTTATTGGGGAAGAACTAAATAACAAAGATTGCTTCTGGTAACTTTGCAAGTCAAAGTGATCCTCGCTGGAACTTGCCAGCAGTGCTTTCAGTAGCAGGCTATGCAGTGTTAGCTGTTAAACTCCAGGAGTTATTCTAATGTACATGTTGGGGTCCCCAAGCATTGACTCTTGCCAACCTCTGCTGCTATTCTCTGAAGTTAGGGAAACAGAGTGAGTCCTTCTGAGGAGAGAGTACACATTCCATTCCAGACACGGAAATTTCCATGTGTGGATTGCATTAGTGGAACTCTGTCTGGTTTGGATGCTATTAAACATGGTGATGAGTTTTCACATGTGTTCGTCGCGTGGTTGATCCCCCAAAAAATCATTGAGTTGGTCTCTACTTCCTTGCGTTTTGTTTCATTTCTTGTGAGATCTTCCCCTTCACGATAGGATGTTATTGTGTTGTTAATTGTAATTCTGTTGAAAACCAATTCAACTTGACATGGAAAGTTCTGTCGTCCTTGTGCAGTTGTTATGGAAAATTTAATGAGCATCAAATTTCTCAAGACTAAATGTTTGCCATACAGCACTTCCCAGTCTGGCTTAGCTCTTTAATGTAAGGTGCAATTCAGCAGATGCACCTCACAACATTCAAATGGGAGAGAAATTTAGAGGGTGAGCCCCATAGAAATGGTAGCACTTGTTTTCCTGACCAACCGGTGAAGAGTGAGCAGAGCTAAGGCACTTCTCCATTGCACGAGAACCAACAGCCTTCTGTGGCTGAACACTTGTTAACAGTTTAATAATCATGACTTTCAGCGAGGATAGAATTGAACACACAAGTCCCTAAAGAGTCTTGTTTTTTGTACAAGGTTCAAACTCCATTCTCATTCTTTCAGACAAGAAAAGGATCGGGCAAAAAAGGCAGAGAAGAAGAAAGAGGATCCCAGTGCTATCAAAGTAAAAGAAGTGTAAGTCCCTGAACTGGAATATAAAAATGTATTTCAAAATGCATCATGTTTTGGGAAGGTTTTTACTCACCTGATGAAACGGCCTATGATATCCTAAAACCTGAAATTTCTAGTCTGATTTAATGTTTTCTTCTCACTATTACAGGCCTAAGTATCCATCCTGTCTATTTTTCCAATATAACACGCAACTTGGTCCTCCCTACTACATCCTTGTCGATACCAACTTCATCAACTTCTCCATCAAAGCCAAACTAGACCTTGTGCAGTCAATGATGGACTGTTTGTATGCAAAGTGTAAGTGATAGTTACATGTTCATTCTCCATTCTTTCTCTTCTCTGTTGGGTCTCTTTTTGGTGGTAAGGTATTGCATTGTTACATTTTCTCGTTCATTCCCTTATCTCCTTGCTCCGTACACCAACTGCAGAGACCTCTGAAATAGCAATAGTCCTGCGGTGGATTCTTCCATGGGGAATAACTGGGCTTTTTCTTGGTTGCTTCTTGTAGCAATAGGCATTAGATACACTTTTACGGTGAAGGAGATGTGTGAAATAGGGGGTTGATACACAGGAGAGTCGGGGGTTGGTGGGGGGAGGATAGGGAATCGGAACTCAAAAACCCCACAATGGGGGAGCTGATTTGCTACCAGGAGGTAGTTGTTAATTTGTGCTCTAAATGCAAGTTAATTCAGTTCAGTCTTACGTTTAGTTACGTCCTCCCAATGTCTCTGACAAACTCGTCCAACAATATAACCAAAAGTACTCTTAAAACAACCCCGGCCCACCAAAACTCCAAAGGCTATTAATTGTAATGTCTTAGGAAGAGTTTTAGATTTGTTTTAAAAAAATATATTGTGCTGTTGTTGAAGTTTCTTGTTAAGGATGGGGAGGCATGAAATTCAACTCCAGAGATTGTAAGATGTGTCCTCTCCCCAGGTGTTCCCTGTATCACAGACTGTGTCATGGCAGAAATTGAGAAGCTGGGACAGAAGTACAGGGTCGCACTCAGGTAAAGGGAATAAGGACTGATTCCTACTGGGCTCAGGCCTATCTGTATGCTCTCTTTCTTCTGCCTCTTCTCCTAATCTATTAAATCATACTGGATCTTGTAAATACCAGACAGGTTGTTCAAGTGGTCATTGACCACGAGGGACATCATGTGTCTTGACTTCTTGCTCTGTGTCCATAGATGCACGTAAATAGAGCAGTTGTACACCTGTACCTTTAACTCAATGACTACATTTCTGATGTAGGTGTTTTCCAGTCATTAGCGCAGTCTCTGAAGGTTTCCAATGCAGAGGCTTGAGAATCTGCCAATCCCCATCAAAGATGAACTGTCTTAGAGGAATTGAACCTGTGGATAGATTCACATTCTGCTCCCAGACCTTTGTTCTTGTGGTTTTCCAGATGCTTTATTTACTTTTGCAGGATAGCGAAGGATCCACGGTTTGAGCGACTACCCTGCACTCACAAAGGCACGTATGCTGATGACTGTCTGGTGCAGAGAGTCATCCAGGTGAGAGAGAAACATTAAAGTGCACTCCTTGATTTGTATAAATTATTTATACATATATATATGTATAAATTATATATATTATGTGTGTATATATACATATTCTCCATCTTTGCATTTAATAAAGATCCTTATCACGTCATTGAGATTTCTCAAAACACTTCACCGAATGTATTGTAATGTGAATTGACTATTTTGTGGGCAAAATACAAGGATGATGATGATATACACTCATACAACTTAAATATCGCACTGCTTTTTAGTTTGTTCAGTTTGTGTTGCTAAAGGTGCAAACTCCTGCTAGGATCTGGTTTATCCAGTGCTGTAGGTGTTAGCAGGTCAGTTAACTTGGGTATTATAACCAACCCTGGTCCATACACATATGCACATTCCAAAAAGGTTTAGAAAGCGGCAACTTGAGCAAGATGCCCCAGTTGTGATCAGCTAACTCAGCACAGACCAAGGGCTAAACCTAGACACAGTATGACTATAATATAAAATATATGTTTACAGACGGGTTTGGTGCCCCAAGTTTTTTTATATAACCTTTGAAACTATCCCACAATCCCTTGCCTCCTTCAATGCACATCTCAAGATCTTCTTCTTCGACCATGCCTTCGGTCACCCTCCTATCCCTACGCTCCACCCCCTTATCTCAGCCCTCAGCTCAGGTCCAAATCCTTAACTGTCCAGCACCTTGGGACATCCTCCTGATGTGAAAGCTGCTATACAAATGTAATTTGTTGTTGTTTATATGAATTTTTCAAAACATTTAGACACATCCTTTTTCTAAGGAAGGACTTGTTTGAAAAAAAAGAAAAGGAAATAATGCTTCTTGTTTTTCCCATGGTAGCACAAATGCTATATTGTAGCTACAGTGGACAGAGATCTCAAGAGGAGGATTCGGAAGATTCCAGGAGTCCCTATTATGTACATCACAAACCACAGGTAAGATCATAAGATTGAGTAAATGTTGGATTGAGGGAGCTGGACTGAGCCTGCATACTCCCCACTATAAACTTTTTTATTCGCACCTGTCACTGAGCTGGGTGAAAAGAAACTGACCCAATCTCAGGACATATAAATTGTAAACTCGCTCTTTAGGGAAATGACGTGAAAGGCTTTGCAAATGTAATTTTGTATATACGTCTGCTGCCCAAATGTTGCCCCTTTTTTATGTAATATATATACACACCTCATTGACGCTGTGAGAGGAAGGGGAAACGTTGGCGTTTGAAAGGCCCATGTATATTGTATGCTTTAAGCACAGTTTAATGCTAATGGTTTGATAATCAGTCACTTCAATTTAACTTGTTTCTTTCCATTTCAGGTACAACATTGAACGGATGCCGGATGACTTTGGTGCCCCTAGATTTTAATGAGACAGCAGATTTTTATTCATGTCAGAGGACTATTATTGCATTTTAATCAAATAGGATGAAACTGCCCTCGATTGAACCTATATCCACTCAACTGCTTCTTAATTAAATTGTGGCACAAGAACATTGTATTGCTTCCAAAGGACTATTGTTTGGGACATCCTGACGCGAAAGGCGCTATACAAATATAATCTTGTTGTTGTTGTTTGCTATTAAATGGGGTTGTTCAATGGCAGGCAGTTGTGTGCTGTGAATTGGACCATCCTGCTTTCATTTCTTTCGTGCAGGCAGGATTATTATTATATTATATTCAAACCAAGCGCCAACTTATCTGTGTAGACACTATATAACCATCTGAATTCAACTCATGAAGATAAAGTGTGTTTTATGAATATTTTGTGAGCATCACATGTTGAGTAATGGAAGTTTTCCCAGATAGGTGTATAGGTGTAATTCGAGTGTGATACAAGTCCCTACACACAAACTAAGACAAATGTGCTGGTTGCAACTGACAACTAACAGTCCCACCAGCACAACGTGTAAAACATTCCATCCAGAATGTGGTTTTGTTTTTTCAAAAACTTTGTCCCATCTCCTACCTGAGGGAAGAACAGTTTTGCTGGGGAGAAAGCAACTGGCTCTTGTGTTGGAGATTGGTATCCTTGTGGCTGGATACCAACTAATGGCACTCTCGTGCAGTAGAAACACTCAGTGCTGGTTTTGGTTTGAATCCCAAACATGGTTGTAATTTAATTGAATATGAGAGCATTGGAGTGAGTGAAACTTTAAAGTTAAAGTCTGGTGATTGTCTTGTTTCTCCTCAACATTCTCCCCTTCCCTCCCGATTGTTTTCCTTTTAAATAAAATTGCAGACATTTTGAGACTGTATCCTCTGTCGTATGTAAGGATCAGGCACCTTAACATGTCTCAATCTGCTTCACAAGTAATTATTGTCAAGTATAGTGGCTATTTCTGTGGGCAAATGCAACAGATGGTTGTCAGGAAGATCCCACCAACAGCCATGAGGTGAATGGCCAGTTGGTTTGTAAAGATTGCATGCACATAACGCCTCACAGTTGAGTAATAATTTAACAGTCTTGCTCATAAGACCACAATAGTGGCTGATGTGGGAAATGGAAGTGTTGAAACATCTCAAAAGTGCTTCATGTAGTCGTTAACTTTGAAGTGCTATGACTGATGTGCAGGTAAACAACAGTGAATATACTGGCAATATCCCACAAAAGCAAGGAGCTGAATATTTTGGAAGAAATTACCCCCACAATCCCTAACCGCTGCCTTGGAGTCCTCTGAACTCCTCTCCCTCTGGCCTTCAACCCTCACTGACCCCTCTTCTGCTCTCACCCTCCTCCACAACACCCTCTCCTCCACACTCAACACTTGCCCCCATCACCTCCCGTACTGTCTCTTACTCTCGCTCCTCCCCCTGGTTCACCGCCCACCTCCGCTCACTGAAGAGCCAGGTGTTGGCCGCTGAACGTACCTGCCTCAAATCTGGCCTAACGGTCCACCAATAAATCTAGCTGGACCTCCTCAAAATCTACCGCTCCACTCTAGCCTCGGCCAAGTCGTCCTTCTACTCCAGGATAATCCTGGAGGCAAAGGACAACCCCGGGCTACTGTTTTCTACCACATCCCGACTCCTCCGTCCCCCCCACAACCCCGCGCAGGTCATCTCCTCCAACCTTCACTGCGAGGAGATGCTGGATTTCTTTGAATCCAAAATCAAAGGAATCCGCTCCGCGGTCACTGCCCCTCCAACATCCCCCCACCCCCTCCCTCCCACACTCCGACTCCTACCCATCCTTCCCTACACACCTTCGAACCTGTTTCCCCACCATCTGTCACCAAACTCATCCTGTCCCTGAAACCCACCACCTGCTCCCTTGACCCCATCCCCACTCCCAGCTCCACCTCCTTGCCCCACTTCTCACAGACATCATCAACCTGTCCCTCTCCTTTGGCTCTGTTCCCATTCCCCTAAAAACTGCCACCATCACTCCCACCTTGGAAAAACCCTCCCTTGATGCGTCGCAGCTATCAAGCTACCGGCCCATCTCCAACCTCCCCTTCCTGTCCAAGGTCCTTGAAAGAGTTGTCGCCTCCCAGCTGCGCTCTTTCCTCTCCACCCATTCATTATTCGAACCCCTTCAGTCGGGTTTCCGTGCTGCCCATAGCACAGAAACTGCCCTGGTCAAGGTCACCAATGACATCCTGACCATCTGCGACCAGGGCTCCCTCTGCCTCCTCGTCCTCCTCAACCTATCGGCCACATTCGATACGGTCGACCACGCTATCCTACTCCACCACTTGTCCTCCCACCTCAACCTTCAAGGCCCTGTCCTTGAGTGGTTTAGGTTGTACCTCTCTCACCGTCTTCACTTTGTCTCCGTTTACGGCTTTTCCTCCACCCCCCGCACTGTCTCGTGCGGTGTCCCTCAGGGCTCTGTCCTCGGTCCCCTCCTCTTCACCCTCTATATGCTCCCCCTTGGTGACATCATCTGCAGACATGGGGTTAACTTCCACATGTATGCGGATGACACCCAACTCTACCTTTCCTCCTCTACCCTCAACTCCACGACCACCGATGTCCTGACAGCTGCCTGTCTGACATCGAGTCCTGGACGAGAGACAACTTTCTTCAGCCTAACGTGCGCAAAACTGAGGCCCTCCTGATTGGCTCACGTCAGCGCCTCCGCACCTCAGGTGCTATCAGCATCAAAGGCCGCACTCTCCACCTCTCAAAGCCATCAGGAACCTTGGGGTTCTGTTCGACCCTGAGCTGTCCTTTCTTCCTCATATCTGCGCCACAACTGGCACCGCCTTCCATCACCTCCGGAACATCGCCAGACTACGGCACTACCTCACCTCTCACGCGGCTGAAACTCTGGTCCACGCCTTTATCACCTCAAGGCTGGACTATGGAACTCTCTCCTCGCCGGCCTTCCCGGCCCTCCCTCCACACTGCAGGTCATTCAGAACTCTGCAGCTCGTGTACTGTCCCGCACCAGGCTTCGGACCACATCACTCCCACCCTCGCTCGCCTCCACTGGCTCCCCATCCCCCAGAGGATCGAATTCAAGATCCTCATCCTCACCTACAAGGCCATTCACGGCCTTGCTCCCTCCTACCTCTCCGACCTACTATCCCCCTACCTACCTGCCCGTACCCTCCGTTCCTCTGGCTCCGGTCTGCTCCACATCCCCCGCCCCAACCGCCCTACCATCGGTGGCCTTCAGCCTCTCAGCCCTGAGGCTCTGGAACTCCATCCCCCAGTGCCTTCGCCGCTTCCTCCCTTTCCTCCTTCAAGGCCGGTCTCAAGACCTTTCTCTTCGACCGTGCCTTCAGCTCCCCTCTCGACTCTCTACCCCCTCCTCGCTCCCTCCCTTCCCTTGACCATTTCCCCCCAATGCTCGGGTCCTGACCCAACTGTCCAGCGCCTTGGTAGGTCCTCCCGACGTGAAAGGGCTCTATAAATGAAATCTTGTTGTTGAATAATTTGGGGAGGAAGTTGGGAGGATGGCTCAAAAGTGCTAAACTGAATACAATGAAAGGTAGTGACATTTGTAGGCAAATATGGCAGAGAATTTGCACGAACAGTGAATGAATCGTTTTAGCTGGAGGTTTAAGACACCAGGAGAAAATCCTTTCTGTTTGCAAATAGTTCTATGGGATCTTTAATGCCCATCTGAACAAATACAGATAGGGACTTGGTTTAAGGAATCATCTGAATGATGACATCCCTGACAATGTAGTATTGTACCTTCTGTACTTTATGACTTAGAACCAAGAAACAAGAATTGGGGGAACAAAAATGGAGCGAGCTGGGAAAACTCAGCAGGTCATGGAGAAAGGAAAGTGAGTCAACTTTTCGGGTCCACAACCCTTCGTCTGTTCTAACAAAGTTCTCTTTTGTTATTGTTTCGGATTTCCAGCATCTGCAGTATTTTGTGTTTTGGACAAGAATTGGGATTGTTGGCCAGAATAGCTTATCTTGTACTGGAAGTGCCAACAGTAAGCTTTGAAATACTATCTCTGCTCAAGTCTGAAGACTTAATAGAGTGTAAACTTGGGGGTGGGTGGAGAGAGAGAGAGAGAGAGAAGACAACCACCACCATATTGAAGGCGTTTTGGGACCAAGATTGCCAGATATTAGTGTGGAGTCCTGTAGCTCAGTGGTTAGAGCACTCGCTTTGCAAGTGAGAGACCTGAGTTCAATTCCAGGCAGAGGGCGAAACCTTGGGCAAGTTTCCTTACTCCACACAGAGCCTAATAATAATCCCTCCAAAACCAAAAACAATAATAAATTGGTCATTTTCAATCCACGACTGTTTGTGGGACATTGCTGTGCGCAATTGGCTGCCGCGTTCGCCCACAAATATACAGTCAATTCACTTTACAGTATATTCTGTGAAGCGCTTTGGGACGTCCTCTCGACGTGAAAAACGCTATATCAAATGCAAGGATTATTATTATTATAGGTTTGTAGCCCAAAGTCAACCAAATACTCGCCCCAATAGTAGCCCAATATTATCCTATGAGTAGCAGAGTGGCCAATTTAGGTCAGTGCTTTTGAAATTGTGTAAGAAAAGGTTTTCCAGGGGGAGGAAGGAGCGTTTTGCAGGTTTCAAAAATAAAAATGAGGCAACACCCCCACCGCAGCCTCTATCACACACAGCGCAACAAAAACCCGCCCAATCGGGCGTGAACCCGCCCAAACCGCCCACATTGCTTTGGGTCAACCAAACAATTGCGTCTCCACGCCGCGTGCGTGCGTGCGTGCGTGCGTGCGGTGCGTGCGTAACTCGAGCCCGCTGCGTGATCACGTCACGTCGCGCCGCGCAGCGCCCGTTGTTTGAGTCTCGGTTCATGTAATGGCGCCGGGCAGCGAGGGCCGAGGGACAGAGACGGCTTGAAAACACTCACAGGAGCCGCTCCGGTCGCATCTCGACAGGACGTTCCGTCAGGAATATCCATCGCATCCGCCACAGCGAACGTTGGTCGAGGATTTCGGCGGTTTGAAAGGGATTTTTAAATCTTCGGTGGATGTACCCGTCCTGGGGCCGCTATGGTGGGGGAGGGGCGCACTACCCCTATTATGGCGGAGGAGGGGTGGGCGCTCACCCGCCGCTCCCCCCTGGGCCCCGAGTCCCAGCCCCGGCTGTCGCCGCCGTCGCCGCCACCCCGAGCCCAGCCGTCGCCCCGCCACCGACCCCCGGCGCCGGCCTCGCGGCCTCCAACTTCCAGACGCTGAGGCAGCAGCACCTGCAGCAGATGCAGCAGCTCCAACAGATGCACCAGCAGCAGATGCAGTCGGTGCTGCAACACCCAGCACACCAGCCCCCGCCGCCTCTGCCACCGCCTCCACCGCCAGCGGCTCTGCAGCTCCAGCCCCCGCCGCCTCAGGGCAGCTGGGAGAGCAGCGGCCCCCCGCAGCCCGGCCAGGCCACTCACAACAACACTCAGCAACACCCTGACTTCCCGCTGCCTTTACAGGTGAGAAACAGAAAGGGGGGAAAGCAACTTCCCATCACACTATCCTCCCTGTGCTATCATCATCATCATCATCATAATCCTTGCATTTGATATAGCGCCTCATCACGTCTTCGAGACGTCTCCGAGCGCTTCGCGGAATATACGAGGATGGCGGTGATGTGAAGTTATACAGTTTAAACATCGCACTGCTTTTAGTTCATTCGGTTTTGCTGCTAACGCCTGCCAGGGTCTGGTTCATCCAGGACTGTGCCCCAGTGGCCATGATTTATACATGTGCCGAGGTCACCAGCGTATGTAAAGTAAAGCACGTAGAAAGATGGATTTTCCGATAGCTTTTTTTTTAAAAAAAGATGTCAATCTGCACATTTTTGCATTCGTGTTTTTATGGTTTGCAAATTGGGTAACCGTGCAGTGGAGATGAGGATTGTTATATATAGATGAGTGGTGTAGAATTGAAAGGCAGCTTTTACTTTCAAAAGCAAATCAGATGGATTTTGTTCAGGAAATAATATCTTGGGATACAGTAAATAGTTTGGGACATGACATGTGTATGCGACTATCAGGATTGTGGAAGGCGAACTGGATTCAATTCTTTTAGCAATTCTTATGACCTTGGTCCATTTCCCTCCTTCACTCTACCCCAATGACTGGGTTGTCACAGTCGTGTCCAGATCATTTTTGGTCACCATTAACTAAAATCCAATGACTTAATTCGTAGAGACTGTAAGTACATAACTCCCTTGCTGGAAGGTTGGATCCAAAAGTTGCATTTGGTAACAACAAAGTACATTTGTACAGCTCCTTTCATATCGGGAGGACCTCCCAAAGCCCTGGTAAAGTCGATAGGGATTTTAGCGGCTTAGTTGAAGTAGAAGGAGCATCTTCCAGAGACTGCCTGGAATAAAATGAAGTGGACAAATTCGCATATTAATTTTAATTTTTTCCTTCCATATTTGACTTTTCATGGTTTGACTGTAGTTTTGCTTGGCTAAGAGGCCTGGCAATTCTGTACAAGCAGTCACCTGGTGATTTTTTTTAACAAGGCCTCAAGTAACTGGACTCCAACTTTTGCTAATTTCTATCGTTGTTTCTCTACTTTTTGTGTCTTTTCTTTATTCAGTGCCTCTCAATCGTGGCTTTGCCCGTCCAGGGTCAGGAACTCCATGTGTGTGAATCTATTGGGGTGTAATGCCACCTGGATGTATATTTACTCAAGAATTTGGCAAATTGTTGAATTAATTCTTTTGAAGTCTTCTGTAGTTTTGAAAGAAAACTAATTGGAAGAAGTGAACATTATGCATGGCATTAAAGGTGAATAATGCCCTAGTGAGAACTCCAGTCCAGTGTGTATCTCCCATCCGAATATTTAAAAAAAAATTCTAAGTTGGGAGTTATCCCTGTTCACACTAGACAGATATTTGGTTAAACGAGCGTCTAAAACAGGGAAGTGGAGTTCTGTAGCGGTTAGAGCACTCGCTTTGCAAGTGAGACACCTGGGTTCAATTCCCGGCAGAGGGCGAAACCTTGGGCAGTTTCCTTACTCCACACAGAGCCTAATAATAATCCCTCCAAAACCAAAAACAATAATAAATAGGTCATTTTTCAATCTACGACTGTTTGTGGGACATTGCTGTGCGCAATTGGCTGCCGTGTTCGCCCACAAATATACAGTCAATTCACTTTACAGTATATTCTGTGAAGCGCTTTGGGACGTCCTCCCGACGTGAAAAGCGCTATATCAAATGCAAGGATTATTATTATTATTATAAGTGGGAGCACCTGTTTTGTCCAGTAACAACAACATCAACAACTTGCACTTATATAGCGCCCTCCACACAGGGTAGCGCCTCAGAGCGCTTAACAGTGGCTTCAGGATTAGGGAATGATTCCCATTCAGAAACAGATTTCATGCTGTGTCGATGCAGTAGCTTGCTGTCCATGTTGATTGATGGCTGACAGGAGAATCATAGCTTCTGTGTTGGATATGTGTGGAGTCCTGTAGCTCAGTGGTCAGAGCACTCGCTTTGGAAGTGAGAGACCTGAGTTCAATTCCCGGCAGAGGGCGAAACCTTGGGCAAGTTTCCTTACTCCACACAGAGCCTAATAATAATCCCTCCAAAACCAAAAACAATAATAAATTGGTCATTTTCAATCTACGACTGTTTGTGGGACATTGCTTTGGGCCTTTTGCCTGCCGCGTTCGCCCACAAATATACAGTCAATTCACTTTACAGTATATTCTGTGAAGCGCTTTGGGACGTCCTCCCGACATGAAAAGCGCTATATCAAATGAGGATTATTATTATTATTATCCTTGAGATTGATTATGGAATAAGAAGATATTGATCAGTTTGTAAGTTTTGTCCTGAAGGGATATGCAGCAAACACTGAATGCAGTATCAATGTGCTGTTGAAGTTAATGGAACCTACATTCAGAATTAGTTTACAAAGTGAGCTCTCTTGTACGAATACTTCTTTAGTGGTATATGTTCAGAATAATAGATTTGGCGAAAAATGTTCTCTGTTGTAAATCAATGAGCATTTTATGTACAGTAGGTGATTGACTTTGACATTTACCTCTCAAATATGTATAGCTGTAATATCACTAATAACAATACTGTCACCTAGGGAGGCATCAGGTAGGGTAGAATATCTAATATTAGATGTCTCTTACTCTGTCCTCGTTAGTTCTCCTTTGTAACTGGAAATTTGAATGCATTGCAGACAACATTAACTCTTAATCAAACCTTGTTGAACCAAACAAAACACAAAATGCTGCAGATGCTGGAAATCTGAAAGAAAAACAGAAGTCGCTGGGAACACTCAGCAGGTCAGGCAGCACCTGGGAGAAGGGAAAGTGAGTCAACGTTTTGGGTCCACTGGACTGGAGTTCTGACGAAGGGTCATGAGCTTGAAACGTTGACTCATTTTCCTTTCTCCATAGGTGCTGCCTGACCTGCTGAGTGTTCCCAGCGACTCTTGTTGAACTAAATATTGAATGCACATCTTTCAAATTTCAGATGCCTTTGCTAATTAAGTGAACACAATTAGAAAACTTCGTTTTTATAGAACTTTACAGTAATTGTTGTCAAGTATAACAACTTTTTTGATACTTATTACTATTGTGCACAAACAGCCAGGTGAATGATCAATTAATCTAGATAATTGTTGGCCTGGACCTAGGGTGATAACCTCTTCTCTTTCAAAAATTGAATTATAATCTGCACCTAAGAACAGAAAACCATTAACCTTTTATTCAATGGCATCTCTTGTATTGTTATCAATATACAGGCACCCAGTAATATTTTGCATCATGGGAATAATAATAATAAAGTGAAATTGTTACCAAATTGTGTCCTTGACATCGAATTAGCTAATAAGAATTAACATTTTATATGCATTTTTCTCTGATCGCTTACGCTACAGAGTTTCTGATCTCAGTAAAATCTTTACAGAAAAATGCTAAGCAGATGTGAAGTGCTTCTCCACAAGTAGAGGGGAAACATGGCGTATAGTCATCTCTTGTCAGTTATTGCGCACTTTCAAGCAATTGATTTGTAACTATTACCAAAAGCGTGGGCTGAAATCCCCCACATTTCACCAAGAGTTTGTGTATGATCTGGGAAGTTGAGTCCCTTTCTTAAAAAGAAACACAATTCTGACAAATGTCAATTTTATATCAAATCAGAAGCTGCTTTTGATATCTTCAAGTGATGGCAAGAAAGTAAAAGCTCAAAGGAGCATCTGTAGCCACGGCAACTCTTCACTCAATTGTTCTGCATTAGGTTCCAATGTAAGAGATGCTTCTCCAAAATGGTTTTCTTCCCGATGTTCTTGCTATTTCTTCTATCCTTTCTTGTGCTGAGATGTAGTTCCATAGTTGTAAGTGTGAAAATGGAATTAATATAAAGGGCAACTTCAAAATCAAGAGATATCAGTGGGAAAACAGAGTAGCCTTCTTTTGTGTGGTACATTTCCATGTTTCCTTCTGCCCATCAATTTAATGTTATTCATTAGTTTTCCAATATTATTGATTCACTCAGCTGTTTCTTCCAGAGTAAGATGTAAATAGTCTGTACAGTTGAACGTGTCTTGCTTGCACCCTACAGATTTTAGAGGATATTTGTAAATGGTTCTTTTGGTTTTTGATGTCTTTGGAAGCCCTTGATGTAGCCTGTAACTCAATCCCAAACTTGCACTTGAGGTGCTAAGATTAAAGTTTGGAGAAACAGTGGGCCGAAGCATTGTGACTGGTTATTTTATTTTATATAGGAATCTGCCTTCTCAAACTCTTTTGAATCAGCAATTGTCAACAACGTTTGAGGCATAAACCTTTTTTTCTGTATTTTTACAAGTTGTCTGAACTCTACTGCACACATGCTCTCTGGTCCTAAATCCAGTGAACGTAAGATTCTGCTCATTCTTTTGTTTGTACCCTGTGACAAGATTTGTTCTATTCATGCTATGGAAATTTTCCCTCGCTGGATAAACACAAGGATTCTCCTGGAGCAGGAGATTTTCCACTGGGGAATGTGGGTGGGAGTGAGGTTCAGTCAAAGGCATACTGGGTGAGTTGAAGGAGGAATTTCAGAGGCGTAGAATGGGAAAGGAATTGTAGACATTGAGTTTGGGGTAATTGCATGGCCAGTCAAGCCAATCTTTATTTTTTTTAAATTATCACTGAATATACGATCATTTAGGTTACAAATTCATATTCTTGTGATGGAATTCTCCATGTGTTTTTCTCAGACTTCTGTACAGTGTGCATATGTGTTGATAATACAGTGTGTGTGTATTACTTAAAATATATTCAGGAGAAGACTAGTCATATGGGGAAAGATTCAAAGTCTCAAGACAATTAGGGTCATCTGTTTTCCATTTCTGATAATCAAATCTAGATTATCATTGTAGATTTTGCAGTCATTTCACATAGGCTGTCTTGGCTGATATTCTGTAGCATACCTGCCACCAGCAAAGCCCATCTCTTCCAACATATTATACAAATAATGTATACCTTTCTGGGAGCTATGAAGCAATAATCAAATGTTAGGGACCCAATCATGGATTCTACTTGTGATTTGTGATTACTGTACAAATTCAAGATCCTCATCCTCACCTACAAGGCCATTCACGGCCTCGCTCCTTCCTACCTCTCCGACCTACTATCCCCCTACTGCCCTTTCGTAACCTCCGTTCCTCTGGAATGGAGGGTCTGCTCCACATCCCCCGCCCTAACCGCCCTACCATCGGTGGCCGGGCTTTCAGCCTCTCAGCCCCGAGGCTCTGGAACTCCATCCCCCAGCACCTTCGCGCCTCCTCCCTTTCCTCCTTCAAGGCCGGTATCAAGAACTTTCTCTTCAACCGTGCCTTCAGCTCCCCTCTCGACTCTCTACCCCCTCCTCGCTCCCTCCCTCCCTTCCCTCCCCTCACCCTGACCATTTCCCCCCTGCTCGGGTCCCGACCCAACTGTCCAGCGCCTTGGGACATCCTCCCGACGTGAAAGGCGCTCTATAAATGAAATGTTGTTGTTGTTGGAGTCCTGTAGCTCAGTGGTTAGAGCACTCGCTTTGCAAGTGAGACACCTGAGTTCAATTCCAGGCAGAGGGCGAAACCTTGGGCAAGTTTCCTTACTCCACACAGAGCCTAATAATAATCCCTCCAAAACCAAAAACAATAATAAATTAGTCATTTTCAACCTACGACTGTTTGTGGGACATTGCTGTGCGCAATTGGCTGCCGCGTTCGCCCACAAATATACAGTCAATTCACTTTACAGTGTGTTCTGTGAAGCGCTTTGGGACGTCCTCCCGACGTGAAAAGCGCTATATCAAATGCAAGGATTATTATTATTATTGTTGTTGTTGTACAGTTGAATTCCTGGATTACTTTCTTAAAAATCAATTTTATACAGCACTAGCTAACATAATAATAATCCTTCCATCTGATATAGCACCTTACATACACAATATTAAATTGGTAAAGCATTGCTGTAAACCTTGTAGTGTAATGCTGCACAGTGCATCGCATTGACATATGTCTTAGGGATCTGTGTGATTTCTTGCAACAGCCAAGCAAGTTCTGGCATTACATGGCTGTTGCAAGAACAGCCATGGTATGTTATACATAACATATATACTTTTCAAAAAGTAGTCACATTAAGGTTTAAATCAATTTCTGTGATTAACAATTAGTGCAATGCAAACCCTTCTGTTGGTTTATAGAAATATGTAATATATGCATTTTAGTTACTGGGATTGTTATCCACAAATGAAATAATTGATGTACAATTGTTTTTGCCTCTTTATTCATTGGCAAACTACATTTTTCAGAGCTGTGCCAATAAAATAACCTATTGTGTTGACATTTGAATTTCCCATATATTTCAGCCAGCAACAGGGAACACTATGACATCACCTGGTGACAAAAAGGTTCCTAATGATCTCTCCAAAACAATAAATGGTTCCTATCAGGTAAGTGAAAAACATTGAGTTAGAAAAGTATGTTTGTTTTGTGGATGAAATAGTAGTGGGAGAGTGCTAGGAGCTGGACGTGGAAGTACTATTGTGTACTCCCACATCCATATTTTCCACAACAAGGTACTTCAATCTCCTCCGAGCATCTGCAAAATGGCTCCCCTACCAAATTATTGAAAACTAAGTTTCAATTGTTTCTTAAATGATTAATTCCTAGCAACCTCCTTGCCAAAACCATTGAGCATCCTAAGAGTTCAGGACAAGTTTATCTGCACAGAAACAAGGTATATCGAAAAGTATTGTGTAATACTGTATTTGTATGCAAGTAAGATATCACCAAAGTAACACTTCCAGGTTTAACCATGTGCTCCAAGCTTTGAACAGTTAAAGAGTTGCAGTGACAGAAAATACCAAATCGAGCTAAAACCTTTTTGTTAAATCCGAGTCCACTCTTCTCCCTGTGGTTTATCAAACACTGCCAGGGGTGTACGGCCCGAGCTCTGAATTACAAAATTAATGTCAATGTCTTTGCATTCTCTGGCAGCAACAACAGCAGTTTTGGTATCAACAGCATCTACAAATCTTACAAAAGCATGGAAGCAAGCAGTTTGGAGCCCATCAGGAAATTAGCCAGAGTTTAGAAACAAACCAGATCAGTGACTCTCTGCTGCACAAACAGGGAGAAGCCAAGGCCTTGTACACTTCTCAGCCACCTTTGCCCCCAGCTGCAGCACATGAGGGCCCCAGAACAGAACCTCCACCCCCACCACCTAAAGATGATTTACCCCCACCTCCGCCTCCTGAAGAATCAAAGGTAGGAGACATTTAGACTTTGGTGTAAATCTGTATCTTGGGCTACGGAAAGGGAGTAGTGGCATTAAAATTACTAAAATTGAGTTGGTGATTTTCAAAATTTTAGTTTCTACTAATTAGAAGGGAGAAGTAATGAGAAAAGGGCTTCAATATTCGGGTATCATAGAATTGTGAACATATTGGCAGTTAGAGCAAAAAGACATTCAGTACCTGAAGGGATAAATAGCCTGGAGTTTCCTTTGACCTTTTGGTTGTCACAAGGACACAATGTGCTAAGTGTATTCAGTGTGACCTCTTAAAACTATGAGCTATTTCAAAATGTTCACTCATTCTTGCAACCATATATTTGGCTCAATTAACAGCCTTCACGTTTTCAGATCAGAAAGATGTGGGTCCAAGCTCCATGTTGGGACTTTGAGCTCACAGTTTAGGCCAAGGGGTTCAGAAAGTTCCAGGCTCAAAGCCCCCACGACATTAAGTATCCTGACTGAGAACCCCCACACAATAAATCCATGGATATTGAGACCTTAGTTTAGTTGCAAACAACATTTTAAAGTAATTAAAGAATTACCTAATTCTTTAAAGAGAATAAATAAAAAGTAATGCTTACAGTGTTAATGTAGAATCACACAGAACTCTGGATTCTGTTTGCCTAAAGCAGTAAAACTCTCACCTCACCTGCCATTGGCATCGCCTGACCCGATTGCTCAGATTTCATCAAGTAATGGGCAGCTCCTCGAGCTGTTGGATTGCGATTGGTGCACAGGGAACAGGGCTCTGTATGATCGAGGTGACATTGTTTGGATGGTGCCATACCAAGACCCTGTCTGCCTGTTCAGATGAATGCTAAAGATTCCATGATACCGAAGGAAGTTGTTTCCAGGAGTTCTGACCGACAATTCTCCAGATAAAATGGTTTATCAATTTCATAGCTTTGATGTGTGCAAATGAGCTGCCTTGTTTGCTTACAAATACAGTCACTGCACAAGATGGCAATTACCTGTAAAGTGCTTTGAGACATTTTGACATTAATAGACACTGTATCAGATGTAAAGATTGCTATTCTAATTAAGTTTTTCTTTTTCTGCACTTTCTGGTTTGTTTACCGTTTAAGTTTGTATATTTTGTTTGTGTTAAGAATGGAAGACAATGAAACTCATTATGCTTTTATTTGTAAAACTCTTTGTAACCTACTTTCATTAAGTGATTAATTAGGTCTTAACATTCTTGTCAGTCTTCCATTGTATGACGTTAGCTGTCTCTGAATGCTAATCAAATTGAATTTGGTATTATAAAGAACTTTAAGGATGGTTTCTAGATGTTGCATTTCTAAGCCTTTCCTTGTTATTCGCCAGCAATTAAGGCGACACAGTTCTATTTTCTGGTGAAGCTGTACACCAGAGGACAGCTTTTGATTTGTTGGAGGTTTGCCTCTGTGGTACTCCTTTTTCAGTGTGAGATAATTGAAATGGAATTTCTGGTGCAAGATGCAGCACTCAAATTCAGGACTGAATAACATTTTATTATCTCCAAGTATTTCTTTCCAACCTTAAATTGAATTATAGTTTGAAGAGAGCTTAAATTCCGAGTTTAGTTTGGATATCCTTAAGCATGGTGATAGGTTTCCCCGTGTGTCAATCCGGCTAACCCCCAAAAATTGCTATTTACATGATGAGGCACAGAATGATTGCTGGTTAGCAAAACAATGCATATTGAATAAACTGTGTTTGACATCACATACCAAAGCTGTTGGGAATCTGTTTGAATGTATACAATTGAGTTATTTCTGGGACAGGTCAGAAGTTGCTTTTTTACCTGTCACCAGCTCCCTGTTCATGTAAATGGTGGGTATAAGAAAGATGAGATGGTTCAGGTGAATTATAAAAATCAGGAGGATATTCCTTGGACTGTTTGTTTGTCACCTGAACCCCAAGGTTGCATTGCTGACTTAAATTCTATGCTATTTGTCTACTTTTATAAAATATTACATGATTGGTTCTTGTTGGTGGTATATTCCATTGCTGTTTTGATTCTTGGCAACATTTGGAAAATTTTAATCGCTACAATACCTTGAAGAATACTTCTGCCATAGGATATCAAAATATGGTTGTTCATTTTTGGTAGTGCATTTAAGAGGAATTAATCTTTCTCTGTAGTAGAGAATATTCAATTTAATGAGTGACCCAGAAATTGTTGAATATGAGAGATAATTTTCTAGAAGAAATAAAAGGGTTTGATTTTTGTTAATTATTGAACCTAACCTTTTGAAGCAAGAAACGGTTGAGCCATGTATTGAGTGTGTAATGCGGGACGAAGCCCATGCTTTCTTATAAACTCAACAATGTTGTTGTGCATTAGAAAGGGGGCTTGAATACAAAACCACAAGGTCCCACACAGGGCTTGTATTTATCTTACAATTTACTTAAAAACATATTTATTTTATTTTAAGTAAAACTCACTCTGGTATCTCCTTCAGTCAGAGCTGCGCAGTCTGAATGACTGTAAAGCACTTTAAGATGCTCTCTTTCAAGGAAGGTGTTATATATGTGCATTGTTGCTTTTGTGGTCAAGGTAGCCGAGGGATAATGACAACTGAATAACTATTCAACAAAGGTGGAAACATAGGCAAAAGGATCATAATTATAACATGAATGCCAAAGCCATATTGGTAATCCTGGGTTATGCCGGCTGTTTCAAGAAGATTGATAATTACAATATACTGTATTAATGGCAGGTTTCATTGCTTTTTGAATAAAAGGGTAGTTGTAAGAGTAACAATCTTAAAGACCCACCCTCTTCCACACAGTGTTAAGTTGTTAATTCTGGTTATAGCCCGTGAAAGAAAGAAAAAAATATATTACCTGATAGAGCAATCTCAATTATTTTTCTTTGCAGCTGAAATTCAATGGGGGTGGAGGGAAACATCCTCTGTGTAGTATGTTGAAACCGCATGTTGTGCCTTTATAGTAGGTTAAGTTGTGATTCCTCCACATTAGGTACTGGACTCATCCTTGCCACCATTGAACATATAAAGGTTAATCAATTTGTTTGGTGATTCTAAAGCTGTAAGGAGTTCAAAGTATACTAAGAAACATAAAGGTACCTGGTGTCAGAGTAAGGGTTTGCGCTGTTAACAGGAGTTGCTTAGTTAACCCATTTATTTCAGAACCTCTGTAGTTATACTGTGAATATTTCAGCCTAGCATCCAACCTCCAGAGAACCCAGAGGAGGCAGAGAGACTGAAGCAGCTACAGGCTGCAGCAGCTCAATGGCAACAACATCGAATTGAGTATCAACACCAGAATATGATGCAACATCACAACCAACTTCAACAACTTCTGCAACAATATCAGCAGTTGATGCAGCAAATACAACACACACAGGTTAGTACTGTACCACAGTGGTCTGCTAGGAATGTTGTGATGCAGTTTGTGTTTGTTGACGTAAGCTTGGTTTTAAAAAAGAGCAATACTTTGACGCAGTACACTGTCTGGTTAGCTTTCCTGCTGCTTGGCCAGCTAGGACCACCTGACCCCTTAGGACTTTGGCTTGCAAGGTTAACAGGAGTTGAGTGGGAAGATTTCCTGCCCCTACTGACTGGTCTGCCCTTCCAAGTCCTGCCAATGAGCCAGGCTGGCTGCGCTGTCATCAACAATGCCCTGGAATACCGCCTGGATCGGGAACTGAACGACCGAGTCTGCCTCAGAGGGCTGGCTCGATTCTGACATTCTGATGTCAAGCATGTCACCTCGGAGCTGGTTCAACTCCAAGGAGACCCCGCTTACCTGATCCAGTGCAAAGCATTTTACCGTAGGCAGGGTAGTTAACTGTCCAGGTAGTGAATTGATTTTCACATTCTAAATGAAAGGTGACAGTTAGTGGTGGGTATCACATGATTGCTAGAATTTGGTGTATCTCACTCTCCACAACCATTTCACTTTGGAGCAATATTCATTACTTCTTTTGCAACTTATCATTTCCCTGCCTTTTCCTCACTCCATTATGCAGTTTCCTGCCTTGCTGTTTCCTACACAGGATTGAGTGGAGATCATCTTCCAGATCTCCACCATTGACAGTGTTAGCCACTAAAATATCAGAACAGACCATGAGATTAGGCACATTTATTTGATTTTTTTTCCTCCTGTGGCCTGTAATGACCATTGTGACCAGGTGTCAAACATATATTCTACGGAAATATAAGTGAGTGCAAAATGCAGCAGCTTTCCATCACAGTCTGTTTGCTCCGAGACACTACCCCGCGTGAAGGGTGGTATATAAATGCAAGTTGTCATTGTTGTGAATCAGCTGATCTTGGGTGGGGCACCACTTAGGGTCCTAACAGTTACCCTGAAAAACCAGGCTAAAAAGCCCAGGTGCTGGCATCTTGCATTCATGCTTGGTGGGGAATCTTTTCAGTTTTATTCAGGGAATCCTTGGGTTCGAATGTAGATCACTTAACAGGAATTATGCACTCTATTCTGAGTGCCAGGATGTGGCATAATAATAATAATCGTTTTGATATAGGGCCTTATCACATCGTTCAGACATCTCAAAGCACTTCACAGAATATACTGTAAAGTGAATTGACTATTTTTGTGGGCGAAATGCATTTTCATGTTTTGATCTCCCTTTCTGCCTGCTCCATTCTTCTCATCCCTTCAATCCTATGTTTTTGCCCGCTATCCTAATTCCCGTCCTTAAATGTTTGCTTTAACTTTTATGTTGAATCCTAGTTCCTCATTTGTGGGTTACTGCTGATTACACCAAATGGATTTGAATTTAGTACTTAATACTGTGTGAATAAGCTGGTAATATAGTGAAGCAATTAGACCGGTTAAAAATGGGTCTGTGACAAGTTTTTCTTTCTCTAGTCTATGCCTCTGGACATGCAGCTGAGACACTTGGAGATCCAGCAGCAGCAGTTCATCCCCCTTTACCAAGAGTGGCAGAGGCAGTTCCAGATCTGGAAGGTACAACTGCAAACCTATCCAAACAAGAATCAACTCCAACAGCATGAAACCCAGTGGAGTCAATGGCAAGAACAAATGGCATCAACAAGTCATCACCTCCAGGAAAGGATGGATGCTCTAAGAAATGTTCAACAGCAATATATAAACAGTCAATCCCAAAGTTACACATCGAGAGGACCACCACCTTCAGGGCCACCTATCCCCCCGCTCCCAACCATGGGGCTGCCACCTACACAAGCAATCACTGGTTCTTCTGTCCTCCCATCAAGCTTGTCAGTCATCCCTATTTCTTCAGCTCAGACTTCTGCTCAGAAGAGTCCATCATTATCCCAGGCTCCATCATCGCCTTCATCTCAGGCCACTTCTCCATCATCAAAAGCCCTTCTATCATCCCAGGACCCTCCCACTTCATCCCAGGACCCTCCCCTTCATCCCAGCGCCCTCCTCCTTCATCGCAGGACCCTCACCCATCAACTCAGGACCCTCCGCCATCAACTCAGGACCAACCACCATCATCCCAGGACCCACCCCTGTCAACCCAGGTCCCACCCCTGTCAACCCAGATCCCTCCTCTGTCAACTCAGATTCCTCCCCCGACTGTCCAGTTTCCTCCGCCAACTGCTCACTTCCCCCCACCAGCTTCCCACTTCCCACCACCGGCTTCACACTTCCCGCCACCGAGTTCCCACTTCCCGCCCCCACCTTCCCACTTCCCACCTCCGTCTTCCCACTTCCCACCTCCGTCTTCTCACTTCCCCCCACCAGATTCCCTTTTCCCCCCGCCATCTTCCCATTTCCCGCCACCATCTTCCCACTTCCCACCACCATCTGCTCACTTCCCACCACCGTCCTCTCAGTTTCCCCCACATGTCGCCCAGGTGCCTCCGCCAGCTTCTAAGCCCCTTCTGCCAGTGCCCCAGGCCACACCTCTGGTCTCCAAAGCTCCTCCCCTGACCGCCAAGGCTCCTCCCCCAGCCTCCAAGGCTCCTCCCTTGGCTCCATCGTCAGCTGCTCTGTCACCTTCGGTTTCCCTGACCTCTCAGGCTGCCCCTGCTCCTTCCCAGGCTGCCTCTACAGCTCCTCAAGTTCCTCCCTTGGCTGCACAGGCTCCTCCTCTGACTCCTGCATTAGCCACAGATCAGAAAAGGCCCTTGATGCCATCACCACATCCAGAAGTAAACTTGGCTTCAGGTAGCACTACATCTGATGGTCACTTTGAACCACATGGGTTAAGGCCATCAGGACAGTCGCAGGGTGGACCACGATTTGAAGGCCCACGGGGCCCAAGGTAATTACTTTTACAAAATTAGGGGTCATATAAAATCTGGCATCAATTTGTTTTTGGAAAAGACCTTAATAGTCTAAATTGTAAAAAAAAATTCCAGTTCCATTATTTGGTGTGATGCCTGTATTCCCAGCAACTGTACAACTGAATATGTGGATATCTGCTGGGTTAGATGGAAAAAAACAACTGCCATCAATGTTTATTCTTTGCTCTTTTATACAAATTTTAAGTATTTTAAGGTATATTTAGTATCAAAACATTTTTATTTGCTTCACTTTTGGCAGTGGAAATCTCTTCTACTGAGAGATTAATGTGGACTTTCATCAGTACCATTCAATGGTCCTCATGAATTTTGCATGTCAGTAGTTGAAGTTTTCCTGAGTCTGTGCATGCTGACAATGAGTTTGGTCTACCTGTAGCCCTTTAAGTAATGCAGCCATATCTCTGCACTGAAATAAATTGGTGTGGAACAAAATGAAGCTGTATGCGTGGCTCTGGAAAAGAATGATCAGAAATCTAAAGAACATTGTATTTCATAATAATCAAAGTGGCCATCCACCAGGCTAGTAGTGTATGTGGTGAAAGTGCAATACATGTATTTTGATGAACTGGGTTATTTTATCATATTGAAACATCAAATAATTAATTTGTTTAAGCAATGTACTGGAGACGAAAAGGTTTTTGATTCAAGTCCTGGTAGCATTGCCTTTGAAAATCTGTGTCTCAAAAGGAATGTAACGCTGAGGTTGCTTCACCTGCTTCGGTATTCTACCAACAACAACAGATTGCATTCATATAGCAAGCGCCTTTCATATTGGGAGGACGTCTCAAGGTGCTGGAACCAACTCAGACTTTTCAGAGAGATGGACAAAAATAATCAAAACATTTCAGACAGCATTTCTGCTGATTGGAGCTATCACTAAGCAGATAGGAGAGAACCACCAAACACTAGAGCAAAAGTATATAGTTTGGGACACCACATGTCAAGCAACTGCCAGGATGGTGGAAGGCGAACTGGATGGACCTTGGTCTTCTTTTGCCAGCAAATTCTTATGTTCTAAAAGTTCGCTAATTTCGGAACAGTTCTTCATTGAACATCTACCTATATACAGTACATAACTGTATTCCTTTAAGAAGTGCTTTTTGTTAACTTAGTTCCATTATATTGTGATGCGCAGAATCACGCAAGCTTTTTTTTTGCTAGTGGTTTGTTTTCTAGTATATTTCTTCCTGTAACATACCGTAACTTCATGCAGAGTAGCCATGCAAATGTTTTCCAAAAGTTCAATACAATATTGACTTTTTGACAATGTTTTGTTTGGAGGCTTGCTACCAGTAACGAGTTAACTCTAAACTGCTTTCAGCAGTGTGAAGGCAACTTCAGATTCACCCAAAGATCTCATTAGGAGGCTTTTTTCTAGTGATGAGAATGCCCAAATTTTGTTCACAGAGGACAGAAATTCCAAATTCCAGTACCAAGTTAGAGAAGTAATTGGTTTAGGTAGTTACCGTGTTAGTAGGACTATTCTATGAAAGAACCACCATCTTATTAGGGTACTCTAATGATCTATAGGTTTGTGGAGAAGTTGCTGTGGTCTTTATGCAATTCCAAACCTAACTATCTGCTGGATTTTGGAGCTATTTGGTCCCAACACTGGCAAAGTCATTGTTCAGACTAGAGTACAAATCAATGCTGCCATCTGGGCACTATACAATACGATACAAAATTAAATTTGTATAGCGCCTTTCACGTAGGGAAGACGTCCCAAGACGTCAGTCAGGAATTTATACGAGCTACAGTAGTTAATATTCTTTCAGTAAGCAAGCTTCCAGAAAGCACAATGGCAACCCTGCATTCTGCTGCCCATATGCCAGTTTGAGGGTTTCAAGGTTTGAGGAAAAGATTCTGAATAATTGAAGCCATGGTGATTTTATGAGTATGAGGAAATGTAGGAAACCAACCCCCCAAAACATCAGTCCAGATCCAGGCTATAACTTTTTTTTGAGGATCGTGGAAATGTTTTGCAAACTCCTGAAAATGTGTTTCATTGGATAATTGCTGGTTGCAATTGTTACTGAAAACGTAAATGAGTAACTGTAATTTTAAGAAGTATTTATATTTGCCTTTTAGGAAGGATGGACCGGGCGGGAGAGGAACATACAGATTTAATGGACCAGGGGCAAGGGAACGTCCTCATTCTCGATTTGATTCCAGGGGACCTAGACATGAAGGTCAATATTTTGAAGAAATGCCAGCAAGATTTGAGGAGCAGTCAGCAAGTCAGCGCTTTGAGGAGCAGGCTCCAGAGAAGCATTTTGACGAGAAGACAGGGAGTCCACATTTTGAGGGACAAACTCCAGGTCCACGTTTTGAGGGACATGGCCCAGGTTCGCATTACGAGGGGAAGGAATCAGATCAGGAATTTGAAGGACAAGAACCAGATCACCATTTTGAGGGACGGGATCCAGATCATTGTTTCCCGGGCCGGGGCCGGGGCTTTCAGGGACGAGGACAGAGATTCCAGGGACGAGGGCAGCGTTTCAGGGGCCGTGGCCAGCGATTCCAAGGCAGAGGACAGCGATTTCAGGGGCGAGGGCAGCACTTTGACGGTCATGGCCGTGGGCAGCGGGTTGAAGACCATAATCGGGGCCCCCACTTTGAGGAGCATGGAGAGAGCCCGGGCTTTGAGGGCCACAGTCCGGGTCATGGCTTTGAGGAGCGTGGCCGAGGTCAGCGCTTTGAGCAAGGTTGGCACCAAGGCTTTGAGGAGCAGGACCAAGGACAACACTTTGAAGGTCGTGGCCGTGGCCATCGCTTTGAGGAGCACGGCTGGGGTCAGCGCTTTGACGAGCACAGTCGGGGCCACCATTTTGATGATCATGGAAGAGGCCAACGCTTTGAGGCTCACGGTCGTGGGCAGTGCTTCGAGGATCATGGTCGAGGCCACCGCTTTGACAATCACGGTCGAGGTCGCCGCTTTGAGGAGCATGGGCGTGGGCAGAACTTTGAGGAACAGGATCGAGGCCAGCGCTTTGAGGGCCAACACAGTGAAGATCCAGGTATTGATGAGCGTTTTGAGGAGCAGTGCCCAGGAGAACGTTTCGAAGAGCCTGATCGGGGGCAGCAATGTGAGGGGCGTGGCAGAGGCCAGCGTTTTGAGGGACCCGGTAGTAGATTTCCAGGAACTAGCTCAAGATTTGAAGGCCCTAGAACGAGATTTGACGGACCAAAAGGGCATCGATTCAGTGGTCCTCGAGGGCATAGTCCACATGTTGAAGGCCCCCAAGCTTCAGCCGCACAGAGAGGACAGGGTGTGAGAGGACTTCAACCTGCTTCAGGACAACCTGAGCAGGACATTAAACCCGTTGAGGAAAAGAAGCTTGAGACAGCAACTGGGGACAAAAATTCTGAACCGAGTGAAGATAAAGTGCCTCAGACATCAGTGGAGCAAAAAGTCAAAGAAAAGGCAGTCCAAGGAAACGTTGAAAAAAGTTCTGATTCCTCTTCTGTCAACAAGGATTTGCTGAAAAAAAGTACCGACCCATCTAAATCCCAGGTTGTCCACCAGAAGGTGGACAGTTCTGAGGTGGCACAGCCTTCAACAACTGTAGTTCAAGAGCAAACGGTGGAGCCAGCTGTGCAAAGTTCATCTAAAATTCAGTCTTCCACTGCGTCACCTGCCACTACAGTAACTACAAAGGTAATATCGGATAAATCTGAGCCAAAGACTGTTACCACATCCAAAAGGTTTGAATCAAAACCAGGGCGTTCCGTTAATGATCGAGAGAAAAGCCAGGATCACAGGCAACATGGGGGCAGGGACCATCCCCCTGGGCATAAAGGTGATGTGGACAGTAACGTAGATGCTATGGGCAAACGACCCCCATTACATCACCGGGGGAACTGCAAGGACATTGGTGGCAGGAAGAAGGCAGATCGGCAGATGATCGTTTTGGGGGACCCAGAGAGAGTGCACCATATGACAGAGAGAGGCCTCTATCCTGGGAAAGAGGGAATCGGAGAGACACCGGCCCCGAGTTTTGGGAAGAAAGGGACACATTTAGGAGGGAAGAACGGTTGCATGGTCGACGCCCACCTCTGCCCCATGAGTCGTTAGACAGGAGGGAGATGCGGCCTTCACTTGCAGGCGATGATTTTGACCAAGGCTTTGACCATGAATGTGATCGAATTGGAAGGCCATATGAGCATGGGTTTGGCAGAGATCGTGATCACGATCGAGAATATTTCCACAGACACAGAGAGGAATGGGACATGCGTGATCATGGGAGAGAGTTTCCCCCATTATGTCCACCTCCCGACAGATGGAGAGAGGAAGGGTGGAGAGATGATAATGAACGGGGTTACCACCATGAAAGAGAAAGGGAACCTTGGGGGAGGGATACTACAGAAAAATCAGACTGGAGGAGAGATGAACGAGATTATCCTCCAGATAGAGGTGGGTGGCAGAGAGAGCGGATAGATGAGAGAAGGTTTCCAGACACAGAGGACAGGCGGTTTGATGATTTGCGTGAGCTGCCACCACCGTCAGTTCCAGTTCAATCATCTGGTTTACCTGAGGAGCCACCGCGATCTTTCTCTGATAAACCTGGAGTGGACCAGCACTCTGGTGGGCAAAATATAGTAGCACTGTCCGAGCGAGAGCATGAAATCATCTTGAAGGCAGCACAGGAACTAAAATTATTGAGGTAAGTGACTTTTGTTTGTGTTTTTGTGACAAAAGCCAGCTAATGTGAAAGCAATGAATGCAAACAGAAGCAAATTTAGATGGTGGGCAGTTAGCTAGAACCAAAGGCATAGAATAAGAATAATGATTATCCTTGCATTTGATATAGCGCCTTATCATGTCATTGAAATATCTCAAAGCGCTTCACAGGATCTGAGCGGTTATCAGCAATGCTTCTTGCGTATAGTGCACGTGCTCCTAATGTGCTGATGTCACAGCAGTGCTGACCTGACCATCCAGAATAATACCACATGGTTAACTTTAAAACCTGTCCAAAATATTTACCCTTCCCCATCTTGTCAGGCATTGTTGGTTTCTTGATTGTGATGGCAGCCCACTTTAAATGCTTAACCAGACTGTTGTATACCCTATTATTTAATAGCAAATTCATAATGATCTGTTGCATTATTATTTATACTTAGAGAGTTGCAAGAGATTGAGAGAGTGCCACTGCTGCCTGGAGAAACAGATACAGGAGGGCATCCTCGCAGAATTCAGGATTATCAGAACACTACAGCTGGTAAAGACTTTTATCAGGTAAGAAAATAGCCAGTAAGTAACAAAATGTAAACTGGGAAAAAAAGAATAATGCTGCCTATAGCAATTGTCGACACTAAGAATGTTTCACAAAAGATGGTGACTATACAGTATTGTACCAACTCAGCTCAGGCGGGAATCAAACTACTGTAGTAATCTTAGTAATCTTCTGATTTGAATTGCAGGACCTTAATGCACTAACTACAGATTTGCCTTTAAATGGTATTGATGCAGTATTTTAGAAAATGACGATACACCTTTAAACCTATTCTTGCATCAATTTCTTTACACATACAAGGACATTCTTAGAGTTTCATGCTCTTTAACCTCATTCTAGCTCTTATTGTTGATTATGACCACACATTCATGTGGGTATTCCCCATTTCTCTCTAGTTCCTTCTCAATAGCAGTGCACAGTTGAAGTAAATGTTCTGAAACCTAGGAGGTCAAAAAATCAATTGTATTTTCTCTAACATATTCTTAGGTTGCTGTATTAAGCTATTTTTCAGCACACTACTGAATAAATACTTAGTAATTACTCCAAAATATGTATTTGTAAATATTTAAGGATGTATTTTTTTCCCAATTGGAAATTTAACTTGTGTTTTGTATTACGTGGCTCTTTTGAGAACCTTTTCACAGACATCATTTGCTTGACCACCTTTGCAATTTGTCAATGTAGGATATGCCGAGCACTGAGAAACTGGGCCCCGTCCAATCACAACCTGCAATTAAGTCTGAACGCTGGGACACCGACACATTCCATGGCCTGTGGGATTCTGGGACTGAGCCCAAGGTTCCTGAACCTAAATATGGCTACAATGAGCCCTCACCAGTGTCCACTCCAACTCTGAACAAACCACCTCCTATTCAGCAGACTGTTGACTATGGGCATGGGCGTGGTAAGTACAACCTCTAACTCTAAGAAAGGTAGCATGTTGATCTCTCAGGTTTTCAAAGCCTCCTCAGTAGTTACTAAAGAATCTGAAAAGTTTTTTGTATGAGGAGGAATAAACAAGATTATTTTCTCTTGTACTTCAGTACTCTGTTATACTACCAATATGAGAGGTAGAATAAGGAATGGTTTTCCATTGACTGCATAGCTATAGCAACAACAACAACAAAATTACATTTGTGTAGCACCTTTCACATCAGGAGGACGTACCAAGTCGCTGGACAGACAGAGTTACGGACCCGAGCTAAGGGGTGGGGAGGAGGGAGGGCAGGGGGAAAGCAGGGAGGTCAAAAGCACGGTCGAAGAGGAGGGTCTTAAGGTGGGTCTTGAAAGTGGAGAGGGAGGGAGGGAGACGGAGGGACAGAGAGATGGAGTTCCAGAGGGTGGGGGCAGAGTGGCGGAAGGCCCGCCCGCCGATAGTGGGGCGAGCAAGGCGGGGGACATGAAGTAGGCCAGAGCCCGCTGAAAGGAGGGAGCGAACAGGGTGGTAGGGAGTTAGGAGGTTGGAGAGGTAGGGGAGAGTAAGACCATGGAGGGCTTTGAAGGTGAGTACTAGGATCTTGAACTGTATCCTCTGTGTGATGGGTAGTCAGTGGAGTCGGGCGAGGATGGGGGGGGTGATAAGGTCGCGGAGCCTGGTGCGGGAGAGGACACGGGCTGCAGAGTTCTGGATGATCTGCAGCCTGTTGAGGGAAGAGTTGGGGAGACCGACAAACGGTGAGTTTGCATAGCACTACAGATTATTAAATAAGCTGTCATTTGTTTTGTTGAGTTCCAGATATGATCCAACATTATTGCTGTGCTTAATAATAATCCTTGGATTTGTTATAGCACTTTTCACGTCTTCTCGACGTTTCAAAGCGCTTCACAGAATAGACTAAAGTGAATATTTGTGGGCGAAATGCAGCAGCCCATTGCGCACAGCAGTGTCCCACAAACAGTTGTGGATTAAAAATGGCCAATTTATTATTGTTTGTTTTTTTGGAGGGATTATTATTAGGTGTGTGGAGTAAGGAAACTTGCCCAAGGTTTCGCCCTGATGCCTGGAATTGAACCCAGGTGTCTCGCTTGCAAGGCGAGTGCTCTAACCACTGAGCTGCAGGACTGTCCTTGAGGCCCAAGCTTGGATATTGCCAGCCCACAAAGGTTACAATAGTGATGCCCTTTGATTTTGCACAAGAATTGTAGTGGCTCCAGAGTGGGCACTTTTGTGCTGGTTGTTCCTCCACTAAGTAATAAAGACCCGAGACAGGTCTATTTTGCCTTGAACGTATAATAGGCAGCTTGATGGTGATCAATGGATTTTTGTGGTATATTCTAACCAGTTTAATTCATTACATCAGCTGCCCTATTGAAGTTGTACAGGTCAATGGGTTATGATCAAATGAAAAGTTACCAGATTATCTGATGGAATGTTTTGGGTTACAAGGATCGTTTTTAACTGCTGGATATTCTGTTTAATTTGTAGATGTTGGAAGAATTGAACAGATCCCCTATGGAGAACGAGTTCCACTTGGTCCTGAGCCATTGCGCGACAGGTTATATGACAAAGGTATTTTCCTGGATCATTAGTTATTGATGATCTGTCCATTTTTGTGGTTCATGGAGCCTGAATTTCCTTTGAAGTTTACTTATAATCTTTCTTGAAGACAACCAGGTATATCTGAGCAGTATTTTACATACTTATGTAGTCTCCGTGCATAGAGTTTAAAACGTGTTTATGGCAAATTTCAATCCCCTTAATTAGACCAGCATGCTTGAACAATGTTTAAATAACTATTTGTCTCCTGGAGTCCTGGCCAACAATCCCCCAGATAAATTAGTCATTCACATCATGGCTGTTTGTGGGACATTGCTGTGCACGTTGGCTGCCATGCTTGTCTACAAATACAGTAACTTTCTTTTACAGCAGCAACCTCTGAAGCAATTTGAAACATTTCAACGTTCTAGGTGCTGTATCAAAATGCACTTAATTATTTATTATTTACATTATGTTAGGTGGTAACAGCGGGTATTGTCACATGAACTTAATTAATTGGTGTACCAAAAATTCTATCCCATTTGTCATCCGTTTAGATCCGCTAGGCCCACGAGATCGTTATGGAGACAGAGACCCATTCTTAGAACGAAGAGGAGATCCTTATTTGGACCGAAGAGACTATGATAGAGAGCGGGATGTATTTCGGGAGCGATCAATCGGAGATTATGATAGAGAAGGATTTGAAAGAGAACGGTTTGGGCGAGAAGAAAGGTAAGATGTCTAGTCGAGTGTGTGTTTTGGGTTTGAATGCATTAATAAATATAGTGGACAAGTGACTGAAAGCTGAGCGCTATATTCCTAGGTGGAATGCACAGTTTTTTTATACTGCATTTGAAAATTGAAAAATATGAGTTAATTCAGCGAAGATGTTTTTATGAATTGTGTAATGTTTATTTCTCACTATTTTGCATTATGTCATCTGACTGAGTATGATGGAAGAGCAAGTGGACATACTTGTACTAATATGGAGTGATGCTTTTCAGCTGCTGTATCCTGACCGTGTACCAATTTCAGTGTGTCATTGTGTTATTAGATTGGCTCTCTGCGGTTTTTTGTACTTTAGAAACCTTGATCATTTTGACAATAAATGCAAATCATTTCTCATATTCTTTGTGTAATTCAGGATGTCTCACCTCCCATCTGGCCGGTCAGGTGGTTATCACAATTACCAGGACAGCAAAGACCCTTTCAACCGAGGGGGTTTTGACCGACCTCTGTTTGACCGCTTACCTGATCGATCACCTTTCGATCATCCATCTAGTGGTTTTGGAGGTATTTAATATATACATTGCTTACAATTGCTTTCGCACGCCAGTTGTATCAAATGTTTGAAACTATTCTTTATGCAGTAGTTGTTGCAATGTTAAAATCACTACTGACTTATTGAACTTAAGAGCAAGTTATAAGGACAGTGGTTAGATATATACAACCTGTCTTTATCACATTCACTATGTAATGCCACATCTAGATATTGGATATGTTACCTTAGGGCTTTGTTGCTCCTGAATCAAATCTTTTTTTTCTAGCTGTGCGTGTTAGCTTAATTGGAAATTTGAGCTTAATTAATGAATTAATTAATTAATTAATTTTAGGTGGTTGTTGATGGGTGATTGCAATAATACTTGCAACTTCTAGATTTCTCAAAGCGCTTTACAGAATATACTGTAATGTGAATTGACTGTATGTTTGTGGCAAAACGTGGCAGCCAATTGCATACAGCAGTGTCCCGCAAACAGTCGTGGAATGAAGTGACCAATTTATTATTGTTTTATTTTTTTTTCTTGAGGGATTACTATTAGGCGTGTGGAGTAAGGAAACTTGCCCAAGGTTTCGCTCTGCCGGGAATTGAACCCAGGTCTCTCACTTGCGAGGCAAGCGCTCTAACCACTGAGCTACAGGACTTCTATAACAGTAGCTTAACAAGAGTAGAGGTTGGGACAATCCCAGAATCTGCCTTTACATCAGTACATCAATGGTCTTGGGAAAAGATGGTGGTGAACACTGCAGATGCTAACTTAAATTGGCTTACAATTCCCTAAATGTTGTACCAGTGGAGCACAGGGCAGCGTATGAATCTTTGCCGGTTAGATTTTTGATCATCCTTATAGCTCAGTTTTACTTAGTTTCAAACCTGATTTGCATCCTGTGCTGCCTAGCTATTGAAGTAATTATCATTTTGTCCTTTGCAAAATTGCACTAATTAAATGGAACGGCACAAAGCACTTTTGTGATTTTATACAGGAATTTTTTTGCGTGCGTTTCTGTACTGATTTAATAAATGTTTCAGGTGAGAGAAGAGGTTTCTCTGATGAGAGGATACCTCCTTCTGCTCCTCCTCCATCACATCCACCACCACGTGTTGAAAGGAAGCCAGAGAGCAAAAATGTTGACGATATTCTCAAAATGCCAGGCAGACAGAGCCGGCCAGATCGAGTGAGTAATTTTCTCTATTTCCTGGGTGTGGATCATTTTGTGTAGCGCCTTGGGACGTCTCCCAACGTGGAAGGCGCTGTACAAATGTAATCTGTTGTCTTTTGTGTGGTATGTTGGGTGCTCAGATTTATTTGGATGCGAATATTTTAAATGCTGTTTAATGTCACAAAGCAGCAATGGACATATTTCTTTGACTTGAATCTTACTGAGCGAAGGTTGTGGCAATTTAATTTGGATCATTTCCTGTATTTTTTTATTGGAAAACATAGACACAAATAATTACACAGCATTGAGTGGGTGAATCTGATTATATGCAGTAGGTTTGGGCTGAATTCTAACGGGCTTTACCAGTACTAAACCAGCAACTAGTCCTCTGTATGCAGTTCTGAGACTGAAATTTCTCATTGGCTAAAGTTCAGCATCCTATAATTGTTACAGAATCTTAATCAATTCTTAAATTAAGTTTTAATTTTGGAAATGGGATTTTCTACAGATCTTAAGAACTGGAGGCAACTGCCATCTAAATTGTTCCTGTGTTTAAGAATTTTCCAAACTTCTGCACACCATCGTAATTTTAAGACCATTGTTTTAAGATTTGCTACTGTGAGGTATTTCAGGCTTCTTTTGCTCTTGTTTATAACATTACTTTTACAGACTGAATGTTCTTCATGATTCTATTACAGATTGTTGTGATTATGCGTGGACTTCCAGGCAGTGGGAAGACTCATGTAGCTAAACTCATTCGAGTAAGTATAATCTGAAACCTGTTAGTTTCAACATTACAGAATATTTATAAAATCTCCAAAGTTGTTAGATTTTTGGCCCATCCAAATCACTGTGCTCCAATGTAGACTTAACTCAGAATGTATTAGTTTTCATGTAAGAATGCTCTTTGCTATCTATTCAGTCTCTCCTACCTCCAGTTTACCAGCTTTCAGTCTTTAGATTTGATTGTGTTCATCATATTCGTAATGGTCCCTCTTACTCTGCAAGCCAGTTGCCAGATCATCTGGACTTTGATCTTATAGTCTAGGCGAACCCTCGAGGGCAGTACTGGGGGTATGCTGCATTGTTAAACCGAGTTCCCATCTGCCTAATGAGGTAGATGTTAAAGATCTCATGGCACTATTCGTAAAAAGAAGGGAGTTTCTCTCCCAGTGTCCTGGTCAACAATCCCACCATATAAAATTGGTGACTCACTTCATGGCATATTCTTGTGTGAAATGCCATGTTCACCCACAAATACAGTCACCACACTTCACAATAAATTCCCGTGAAGCACTTTGAGATGCCTTTATATAAAGTTAATTCCTCGAGGTCCACTTTTAATACAATTTACATTTGCTTAGCATCTTTCATGTCAGGAGGTTGCAGTTTATATGTTTTAGCACCTTTCACATCAGGAAGTTGTCTTAAAGTGCATGACAATACCTACATTATCCAGAAGCTGAAAATCTAAAAAGAGAAGAAGAATAATCCTTGCATTTGATATAGTACCTCATCACATCATTGAGTAGTCTCAAAGAACTTCATAAAATATACTGTAAAGTGAATTGACTATATATGGGCTAATGTAATTTACATCTTTTTAAGCTCACGGTTGATTTAAAAAGCCTGAGTTGTTTAAATGGGTAAATTACCCATTAAGTCTATTGATTTGATGATGCATATTGTGCCGATAAATGCACTATTTTAGTGCAATTTTTAGTTCATGTCCGTTATGTTTTAGGATAAGGAAGTGGAGTATGGCGGAGCAGCACCACGAGTCCTCAGTTTGGATGATTACTTTATGACTGAAGTAGAAAAAGTAGTGAAGGATCCAGACAGTGGCAAACGTGTCAAAAAGAAGGTAATTAATAAACAAGCCAAATGTTGATGAATTTGGTCAGAAGAAGGGATTGGTATTTTGCCCTCTCCTTTCTGGGGCCTTTCGTGATTACATTTAGTTGAAACACAAAGGGATAAAGAATGGATTTCTGAGATTGAACAGTTTTGAATAAATATCAATCCGTTCCCTAAAACTGCAGTGAATACAACAACTCCACCACAAAAACAACACCAACAAGCACAACAACAAATTACATTCACATCGAGAGGACGTCCCAAGGCGCTGGACAGTTAGGTGTTCGAGCTGGGGATTGGGATCAAGCGGGGTGGAAGGCAGGGAGGGTAGGGGTAGGAGGGTGACTGAAGGCGCAGTAGAAGAGGGAGATGGAGTGTCATAGAGAGGTGACGGGGGGGGGGGGGGGGTGGGGTGAGAAACGTATTTTCTTGACAAAAATGTGTTAACCTCTCTCTTTCCTCAGCTTCTGGAGTATGAATACGAGCCAGAGATGGAAGAGACCTATAGGAGCAGCATGTTCAAAACATTCCGAAAGACACTCGATGATGGGTTCTTCCCCTTCATCATTATAGATGCTATTAACAATAGAGTCAAACACTTTGAGCAGTTCTGGAGTGCAGCAAAAACCAAAGGTTTTGAGGTGAGATGTGGCGTAGAAAGAATTATAAGAGAAACTGCATTTTACCGCCAAATCAACCCAAAATGGTGATGCCCTGAAATATTTCTCAATTGTCAACTGAATGAAATGGAGGCACTAAACACAACTTTTCCTTTTCACCCTTTAGGTATATATAGCAGAAATGAGCGCAGATAATCAGACCTGTGCCAAAAGGAACATTCACGGGCGCAAACTGAAGGAAATAAACAAGGTAATTAATAATCCTAATAATAATAATCCTTGAATTTGATATAGCGCTTTTCGCATCTTCTAGACTTCTCAAAGCGCTTCACAGAATAGACTGTAAAGTGAATTGACTGCATTTTTTGTGGGCGAAACACGGCAGCCAATTGCGCACAGCAGTGTCCCACAAACAGTCGTGGATTGAAGTGATCAAATTATTTTTTCTTGAGGGATTATTTGATTTATTGAGGGAATGACTGAGCTTTTGTTCACAATATATCAATTACAGGCTGTACATTTTTCTCTGTCATGGAAATTGGCCAGTTAGTGTTCAAGTTCTTGATAAATTGAATAAGTCACTTGGAGTTACACACAAGCTAGTTAAACCCTGGTTACATATCGCTGGGTTTCAGCAGAAATTATGCCAGTTGCAAATGTTCAAAATGTTGAATGGGAACCATGTGTTTTAATTGGAACCTTACTAACATCACATATACTTTTAGTTTTTTCCCGCTCTCATTTGCTCCCCATTCTGAAGGCTCAGAAGTACAGATCTATGGGATACATACTTGGTGCCAATTTTCAATGTGTGAAGCTAGATGTCAAGTGTCAGTTGGCTGATCGATCAAGGGGGCATTTGTCCCAACTGATCTTGATCCTTTCCCACCATTCTCTCATGCACCTTCTGGCAGACCCCTTAATGGATAGCATTATTTGTTATACTTGTCTTGTTTTATTTGCTGAGGCCAGAAAAATAAATCTTTGGGGGGGTAAATGTTTCTCAATAATGTGCAATATCTAATCCTTTGTTTATGAATTGAAATATTAAGACAAAGTGCACCAAATTGTTGTTGTACCTAACAGATATGATTGTACAGGAGATTAATTAATTATGTAGAATTTTCTTCCTGCTTTCTGCAGACCTAGACAGTGAAAGCTCGCTTACTAACCAGCTTAACACCCAACTAGCAAATTTGGCTCAAATGTGTCAAAAATTCCCATCTCTCCTCAGAGAGGATCAAACAAGGGTCATTAAATTGCAATTGAGAGCAACCATTGTTTAAATAACTTTACTGTCTTATCTCAACTAAGGATTGACCTTTGTTTTGTGTTTTACAGATGTCTGATCACTGGGATTCAACTCCACGACACATGTTGCGTTTAGATATCAGATCGCTGCTCCAAGATGCTGCTATTGAAGAAGTGAGTGACCCCAAAAACAGTAAGGCCTAAGCAGTTATTTAGAATGATTCAGGTTCTGAAGCAGGTAACGTCACAGTATGTTACTAGATTGTCAGCAAAATTGTTGTGGTTTGTGAGTGGTCAGTGAGATTTGCCTACCATTTCTTGAATAGGTTGACGATTTTGTTTTGCTTTTCCAATTTTGTCCTTAAGGAGTTGAACCTGTTCTCTGGAGCCTAACTCAAGAGACCTTTGTTCCAAGTGTAAGCCTGGACAGTCAATGCAGGCGGGCTATGTAACCATGAGAGCATCACAAGTGAGCACAATTCTCATCTCACCAACTGCTCACACAGATGCAGATGGATCACTGGATAATAATCAGGAGCACTAGCTGACTTCTGTGTTTCCCTTATCCCTGGGCAATGAGATCAATTTCACTTTGGTTGAGATCAGTATAATCCATCAAATAGCTAGGACCACCGTGGTATGTAGCTCATGATGCCTTTAATAAAGGGAGGAAGTTGTCCACCCTTGGTGAAGAATTAGCACAAGATTGACATATTCCCGTATAGGGCGAAACTTTTGGCAAGTTTCCTTACTTCACATCCCCCTGTTTACCTAGCAGTAAGTAGGAACCCAGTAGTTTAGTCAATTGGCAGATTGCTTTCCGGGAGTAATAATCCCTCAAAAAAAAACATTTGGTAACTCAATCCACGACTGTTTGTGGGACACTGCTGTGCGCAATTGGCTGCCGAGTTTCGACAAAATACACAGTCGATCCACTTTACAATATATTCTGTGAAGCGCTTTGAGATGTCTCAACGACATGATAAGACTATATCAAAACAAGGATTTTTTATTATAGGCATATGAAAGGTTATTTTAAACTCTCTCTGCCCTGCAGTTGGCCAGTAATGGAAATAAAGCTCTTTTATCAGCTGGATGAGTGTCATTTTTTTCCCAAAGGTTGAGATGGAGGATTTTGACCCAAACAGTGAGCAGCAGCAGCAGCAGCAGCAACAGGAGGAAGAGTCAAAGAAGGAGGCGCCTGATGAAGAGGAATATGAAACGGTAGGAGATGACCTCACCAGAAATAAACATGGTCGTGGTTGTTAATGAGACTGCTTCCTAGTAGAATTTTATACTGGGTGTACCTGTCAGTAAGAAATGCCCTGGACATGTTTGGGTGGAACTATTATCAATACAGTACAGTCTGTCGTGATTCTTTTACAACAAAAAGAGTTTTACTGATGGAACTTTAGTACTATAATAATTAGAAGAGAAAAAAACCCAGCCTGTAGAGAACTGCAGCCAATGTTTTCGGGTTTGTGAATTGCAACACAAGATTCAATGAAAATGCGATGCTGATCTTGTTCTGTAACGTGCAATGGAGATGGATACCGCTAGATCAGAGTTCTCAACATCATTGACATTATGATTAGCAAAAATTATGCAGTGGATCCTTATAATAATCCTTGCATTTGATGTAGCGCCTTATCACATCTTCCTTGCAGAGTCTACATTGAGTAAGGCCGTGATTATATTGTGGCATTTGTTACTTATATCTTCAATGAGTGATTCATATTTAAGTGATTTCTACTGCATTACAGTATTTGTAAAGATATCAATATTTAGAAAGTCCAACAATATAGGGAAATATTAACTTGGGACAGCTGGAAGTTGGTTATTAAAGGAGAGCGGGTCTTGTCCTGCAGCTGCTAGCATGTGTGCAAAATGTTGCCACCAAGTTTCTTTCGAAAGGGAACACTCAGCAGACTTATCGGTATTAAAGGTATGTGGATTTTCTGAGGATCTACAGCTTTAAGAGCTGTTGGCCAAACTTTGTATAATTTAGAAAATGTGCTTCCCATTAGACCTCATCAGGTTTGTCGCGCTGTTGAAGTTCGAAGGCTCATTGTCACTTAATAGCCAGTGCGCCATTCCCCTATATTTCTTACTGTCATGAATACCAGTGTATGCTTTTACTAGACATCTTCTTAGGGTGAAAAGCATTAAACAATTTGAATGCTCCTTCGTAAGTGGTATAATCCAATTTATTACCAAATCTCGAAAGGAATCTTCAAAGTTTTTTTTAAATGAGTGGGTGAAGCTGACGCAAGTAAACACACAAGTGAAATCCTTTTTAAGGTATTGAAGTGTGTGAATAAACTTTATTTATATGAAAAGTGAGATGAGGCCAATTGTAACCATTTGACACTATGTAAATAACTTGCAGTGTATCTGAACCCTTAAACCATTACAATTCTTGATCCACTAACTTTTTAAGAGATTTTGCATTTACCATTCTATAGGATTGCAGTGCAGCTTCAAAATTTCAACACAAAGAACATTTTTTCAACAAGCTTGATTATATTACATAACAGCATTATATATGTATATATGTGTATATATATACTATAATGTTAAACTACACAACGCCATTACTTTCATATTCCAGTTAATGTTGCTTTGGTACAACTAAACCTGAACAAGTATTTTTTTCCCTATTACAATTTATAAACCGTTAACACAAAAAACTCAAATTTCTGATAATTTGCCACTGTTAGCATGGAGTCAATTTAACGCTAAGATTTGTTGCATCGTAAATGAATGTCCTGTGTGTTTCCTCGGTTTTCCTGCTGATTTGCCATCACTTCTACATGGTTATTTTCAAATGACTGTATTGTGTGAATGGACTTTATTTCAGAGAGCTCTGAATTAAAATAATTGGTTTATATAAAAACTTGTTCTCTTATTGAGTACCTGTGTATGTTCTCGTTATACAAACCGTGTATGATGTGAAGCACTGTTACTCCCTCGTGCTGTGGTGTTTTGAATATCTCTGAGCATGCTTTCCATTTGTTTTCCTACTGAAACGTGAGTCGTTGTCTACGACACTGCGCAATGTTAAACGTTTCAGTTTAACCAGATGAGCTTCTCTCTGTGTGTATGATCTAGGGTTTCATCACAAAAAGCAAATGGGAAATGGACACTTCGGAAGAAAATCTAGGTAGGTGCAGTTTATTTGGTTTCTGTTCAATGAAGGAATACTTATGGTTTTAAAAGGAGCCTCCCGAAAGTGCTTCTTTTTAAATGGTTCAAGATCAGGAACCTATACAGCAAATGCTGAATGATTTGGTTATAATAATAATAATCCTTGCATTTGATATTGCACCTTAGCACATCATTGAAATGTTTCAGCTAAATCCATGGCAAATGCTTCCTGGATTTGAGTTGTAGCCAATCTGACAAGGCAATCTTTAGGACTTTAACAAACTTAATTCCTAAAATTTTCGGATTAATAAATATTACTGATTCCATTGGAATTAACTTGAGTGAAGGGTGAAACCCATCAGTTTTGGATGATGGTGAGGTCATTTTTGTTTGTGGAAAATTCCTGTGAGATTGCTGTGGCAGTTTTGCAGGAGATTTCTAAACCTCTGAGCCATTATCTGGAGATGTAGTCAAGCGTTTGACATCTAAACCTGTACCACCACTGCACCTGTCTCGATTAAGCCAGTGTAATGAATGCATTATCTTGTGTATTTGTGAGTGGAATGTAAGCACTTAAAAGACTGTAACTACTGTTCACGACCGTTTGCTCTGTGATGAAGTAATTGGTGGCAGATCCACATCCTTTCTCTGATAGTAATAATACTAATTCTGAGGGGTATGAATTCAATTTTTTGTATATTTTTTTCCTAAACAAAATCTGTATAACCAATATTAAACCAGTAAACAATTCCTAAAATGTTTGTGGAAATGCATCTGAGGAAAGATCTTATTTGCATTGAAGTCTAGAACTAAAAGCCAGTAAAGGGTCTACACAACTATTCAATTTTCATAGTGTATAAAAATCATAATAAAATGACCTGATGCATTCTCTTGCATGCAGTCCTACTGTATAGTGAAGGCCTCTGTTATTTATATAAATCCGAGTGCAAATGCAACTCTGTTTTGTGTTAGTTTAGTTTGTGTCATGTTAAACTGGTCAAAACGGTGCAAAATGGCTGTTTGGATGAAAAATACAATCATTTGTTAAGCCATATCTTTTTCCAAAAGAAATGTTTCATATTTTTTATTTGGCAGCTGTATCACTAAGGAGCCAGTGATCAGTGTATTTAAGTTTCTGCAAAATATGTATAATAGGATCTCGTAACTGAAGTTTGGTGAATATATAAATAAGAGCAATGCATCTTATAATGATCAAACTTAGAATATTTATCAGTAGGCACTATTCTGAAATTTATGATTAGCTGGTGAAATCACTTTGCCTTACATAATGATGTTTAAGGCATATTCAGTGTGAGTTTCAATGTCAACTGAATGTTTCAGGTCCGTTGGGCGAAGCTGCTGCTGATAATGAATGTGCACTGCTTTGTGTGTTCAGATTCTTTGAAGACTTTGTCAAGCACTGGTGGTCAGATTTATGTTCTGGTTCACTAGTTTTGTAAATAAATAATATAATAATCCTTGCATTTGTTTATCACATTGTTGAGACGTCTCAAAGCGCTTCACAGAATATACTGTGGATTGACTGTATATTTTGTGGGCGAAATAGATTCATACAATTCTATGATTTACTATTTTGCATTAGTATGTTGGTACAATGCCGTACATAGAGCAGTAACTTTCCAGTCAACCTCGCTGACTCAAGGTTTTATCACTGTAGCTTTGGAAGCATATACATGTCTGAGATTCTGTGAGAGTGCCTGATCATTTCTGATCATTTCAGAAGTGGCAATGGTAAGTAAGTAAAGTTGGCACATCCATCCTACCACAGGATACAGAGTACTGCAATGTAGTTTTTATGATCCTGAAATGAGCTGTTTGATGGCAAGTGATAATTTGTGGGTTAGGTTACTAATGCATACAGACTGAAAATGAAAAACCTACCAGCAACCATAAACTTGCAACACCTGCAAAATCTATACCTGTTCTAACTGCTTGAACTAATAATGTAATAATGTAAGCGTTCCATATAACCTCCAGCCTTTGACCCTGACTGACTCATGTATCATAGTCGAGTGACAAAAGAGCAATTTGCAGGACAGTTTCACTTTCTATAACAAATAAAGCTTGAAGCTTTGAACACTAAAAGGCTACAAAAAAAAAGCTGTGAATTCTCAGAGTCAAGTTTTACTTCACTTACCAAACATTGAGCAATGCTCAGGTCTTATCAACAACCAGCTTCTGAAGATGCCCCAATCTGACAGATGCAATTCTGTACATGGTATCTCTGTTTACTCGTTTGCATAATGGTGGGATAAGTGGTTGACCTAAACCATCAACAGATGATTTGAAGATGAGAATAAATTTTCTAGCCCTTGTAGTTATACCACAATTTTACCTTTGCACATCCTAAACGTGCCTGATTTTATTTTTCTGTTTCAAATCTCGAAGCTTATTCCAAAGTACCTGTTCAGATGATGCAGTGTTTAGGCTGCAGCAGCCCCAAGATGTGCTTCAGTGCAAGTTTTCACAAAGTGGGTGTTGCTTAATCTAAGTTAGCAAATGCTATGAGCAACTGTCACTACATGTGACATAGCACACTTTTTATACAGAAATCATAGATATTCTTGGAATGGCGAAGATGTATATACATGACCTTGTGTTTTGTGAATGATAGCGAGACACATCAATGATGGTGTGAATGAAATGACTTTTAATAAATTTTTATGAGTCACTTATAATGTAATATCTGCTTGCAAAATCAAAGTAAATCTGGCATATTCTTGATTTCCTAACTGTATCCTGAATATGGATGGGGGTAAAATAGATCGTATTACTCATTGTCGGTAATGGTACATGTGTTTAGCATACAGTTGTTGTAAGTGGACGTTTATAATTTTTCAAGACTTGATTTGAAGTTCAAATTTCTGCATGTTAGAAAATCTACAATCTTATGACCACTCTTAACAACACGGCAATGCAGGTGAATTCTGTCAAGATTTCTATACAATCTTGAAAGATTTTAATCTTGAGTGATCTCAAGAACCCCCCCAGTGGGAACTGTTGTAATCACTGTTCCACATACACTACTGGAGTGACTGTAAACTGCACTACTTTTCTCGATTATTTGGGGGAGGGGGGGTAGAGAGATCTGTTGCAAGAAATTCATTTGTTTATTATGTTAGCAAGGCCACCATTGCTTTCTTGTCAGCTGTGAGCTGTATTTATGCTTGCCACATTTTCCAGTCTTGAACGAAAATGCTTAGTAAACTTGTTCTCAATTACCATTTAATGTTTTTTTGTGGCAGTTGTATTTACAACAACAACTTGTGTACTACATTACAGTCCAATAAACCACTAAGTTAATCAGCTTTATTTGTGAATGTAACTGTGGATGTACAAAAGACTTGTTCAGTATCTGACATGGAACATTTTCCTTTACAGAGTAGGCACCAGAAGTGGGTAATGTCAATTAACTTTAAAGCAAAAAATCTGAATGAATTAATGTATAATTAGGATAAGGATTGAGGAATCTAAGGATCAGTACAGATATAAATACAAATAAAAAATGCTGTGTGGAACATAAGATGCTGGGATTGTGGAAATGTTCTGCCAAGGAAGGCATTTGATCACTGGTAAACACGGTATGATGTAAAATTAAATGAATGTTTTGAGGGCTTTCCTTGATTTTCCTTTGAGAGACAGAAAAAAAAGCTTTGCAGAATCTTTTTCTTCAGGAGATTAAATGAGAATTTGGTAGAACCAAATGTATATGCACGGTGAAAGGAATGAGCTTGATTGACTAAAATGGTCTTTATGCCACATTTTCTTATGCTCAAGTTTAATGCTGACAGATTATTGCCTATAGTATTGTAAATATTCACTTCAATAAAGCTTGAAATTGTGAAATGTGATCATTCAATGTGAATAATAATACTTTTCTCATGATAGCAGATCTGCCATCTTTAATTCTGCTTTGAATTTTGAATTTTGCCTTTGTTTACTGGATTCAGTAAATTGAACATTGTGAAATGCAGCACAGAATTTTTAGCACAGGGTTGAGAACCATGTGAACTGGATCTGATTCATAATAATTTAATCCTTGCATTTGATCTAGCGCCTTGTCACATCATGGAAACATCTCAAAATGCCTCACAGGACTTTACTGTAAGTGCAGTGGCGGAGCATTTGTAGGCAAATGCTGCAGTCAATTTGCACACAACAATATGCCTTGAAGTGAATGACCAAATGTATCTGGGGAATTATTGGGCAGGACATTGTGTGAAACTCATTTTTTTAAATAGTGCCATAGGTTCTTTAACGTCCACCTAAACAGACAGACTGGGCCTTGGTTTAATGTCTTACCCGATGGATGGCATCACTGACAATCCAGCAGTCCATCAGCACTGCATTGCAGTGTCAGCCCAGACTATGATTTCAAACCTCACAACCTTCTGACTCTGAGGCAAAAGAGTCCTCCTACCACCTGAGCCAGACAAGCACCTGAACACATCTTAAGTTTTAATTTTCACTCCTATTCTGGTCTGGTCGTTGGTCCAGCATTCCTTATTAGAACGTGGCCATGACTTATTTGTTTTGTGTACACAATAAGAAATAGCTAGGATTACAGAAGTCAGTGGTCCATTTATTAAGTTGTTACTTACTGCAATAAAGAAGACTGGCAGTTTAAACATTTCAACGCCACTGTCAGTCTTTTCTGTCTAGTGTTTATGTTTCCGTTTATCAACATCCTTAAACTCAGATATGTAGCAGCCTGAACTGATGTCTGAGATGTATTTTTATGATAAAATAGGTAATTTTTAAAAAATGTTATTAAATACAATATTCCCATGGAAATTAAGGTGAATTCTAATTGGGATTTTATTTACCTCAATGCGAGAGTCATGCCATAAGGTTACCTGGTCTAAAACATATTTATTTATTGTGTGATAATATTTAGTAAGTGTTAGATGTGCAAATCAGGCTTATTTTTAATGTTAGCAGGAATAGTTTTGCCAATGCAGCATTATGTTGGTCCTGGTTTATAGAATTCAGCAATGCCTCTCATGACCACATGGATTTGTCTTCACAATGTACTAATTTCCTGCTTAGTAAAGTGTGCACTGTTGGGGATTGTGCTATATGTGTTAACATACTAATGATTGCAAAATTGAACTCTGGCGGTCTCACAAAGTAATGGCAGAGTTTCAGCAGATCTGAACTTCTGCCAATTGATGTTGCAAATGTGTTTAAGATAAAACAAAGTTCTGTTGTCAAACTCCAACTCATTTGAGTCTATCCAAATCTCTACAAGCGTGGCTTTAAAAATGAACAATACATATTAAGCCATGGTGAGTTGACCTGAGTCAACCCAATATGGGACTGACCTTTTCAACTTAAACTTCTATGAAACAATACCAAAGTCAAGAGCTGTAACAGATAGGACTTGTTTTCTGCCTTCTCGCAGTGCATATTGTTGTAAGACAAAGGAGGTCTTGCATTCATCTTCAACCTGTTCCCTTACATCCCCAACTTTAAAAAAAACAATTATCCGTTCTGCCTCTATAAGTGGGATTGTTTGTTTAAGTGCAAAGTACTGTAAAAGCTGTTTTTTTCCATTTATGAAATCTCAGACATGTGGAAGTTCTGTGTGTAACCATTGAAGATTATATTGGTGCATGAAAAATGTTTGGTAAGAAAATCTAGTTTAATAGATTGCCTTGGGGATCCATGCCTTACTACAGTACTTTGAAGGCTGAGCAGCCTATGCTGTACATTATACAAAAGAGATTCCACTGTACATATATATCTATGCATTCTATATTTTTGTCCACTGGTGTGTTCCCTCTGAATCTGACAGCAGAGCCTATGTTTTTGTTGTTCAGACAAACTGGATGGGTTGAGGAGCGGCAACAAACGGAAGCGAGGCTGGCATGACAGCATGGCACACCGATTGGAAGATTATCTTCAGCTTCCTGATGATTATAACTCTCGATCTTCAGAACCTGGGAAAAAACGGGTAAAGAAAATCATTACAATTATTACTTTGGATGTATGTGAGGGGATTACAGCACAGCATTTGAGTTGGAATGTAAGAAATTGTATAAGTATTTACTTTGAACATTTTCAGGCGCAGAATATTTCAAGACTTGTGGGAGAATGTTGAAAAGTATTGCATTAAATGTATTTCTCACAATTTTGTAGATGCATGTCATGGATATACCAGGTGCAAAACAGATCCCTTTAATAATTGAATATTTTTCTTTCTCTCTCTGCAAAGTGACCATGTTCTGAAAGTTGACAAGTTTCTCTTGTGTTGCAATAAAGTTCATATATATGGCTGGCCAAGGAATTGGGACTATCTGTTTGAGGCATGCCATCACTTTAATAGGATCACACATTCATGATCTGTCTCTATTTTCAACTAATATTTGATATTTCATAAACTGTTGGCAAAAGGAACAAACTGGGTAACGAGCTGCCAAAATATCTGTTGTGCTTTTTTACTGGCACAGTCAAACACTGCTTTGATTATAGTACACTTCATGAAAATGTTTGGAATAGTGGAGAGAAAATGAATTGGGGATTACTGCATGCAGTTTGCCAGTAACAAATAAAAAAAACTCATATGCCATAAAGAAATCAAGAGATTAAATAGCTAGCTGTATTTACATTGAATAAATTCAGGCAACATAATCTCATTATGGATTTATCAATGAACTACTGCAAGTCCAAGAAAATGTTACTCTTGAGGTTTATGTTCGCACAGAGAGAGAAACTGCAAACAGTTAAATAAATGGACCTGTGGTTTTAGAAAGCAACATGCTTCCAAATAGGTTTGTTTAAACTGAACGAATCCTGGGGGATAAGACTTGATGGACATGAGTAAAATGCCAACAGTACTTGTCTGTGGCTGTGTTATATTTACTATTAATACTATCCAGCCGAATATAAAATGTTTCATAATTATACTTATGAACATGAAGAGCTAATGCTCCTTATCTCTTCTCCTTAACTCATCTCTCAAAAGAAGAAAGGTGCTTAATGTCAGGCATTTTTAATGAAAAATTGACTACTTAAGAAAATTAATTTCATTTATATGAATGAGTCTGCACAATTTTTTGGGGGAAAGGTTTCTGGATAGAGAAGTAATGTGTGCTTCCGAACTACTCGCAATGTGCCGTAGGTGAGGTGGGCAGACCTGGAAGAGGAGAAGGATGCTGAGCGGAAGCGAGCCATTGGGTTCGTAGTTGGACAAACCGACTGGGAGAAGATTACAGATGAAAAGGGTGAATTGGCCCAGAGAGCATTGAACCGCACTAAATATTTCTAAGGATNAAAAAAAGTTTCAATTGTTTTTTACCTTGAGGTAAGCAAAATGTATTTTACATTTTTTTTTAAAGAAAACGTTCTGTTTTAAAGTTTGGTGAAACATTTTTTCCTTGTTCGGAATAACGACAACGTATGGACAGTAGTTAGATGTGTTGTATGCAGCAGAACAAGTTGGATACATCCACAGCACAATTGCAATTGAAACCTAGCAACTTGTTAGCAGTACAATAAGTCACTGTGTTTTTGTTATATTTTTAATTGTTTATATTTTTAATGTTAGAATTATTAAGTTAACACAGTTGGTGCTGGTTAATGGTAAAAGGTTCTCAAATGCTAAATTATTGAATTTAATTAATTTCAATGATGTCTTCTTGCAAAGCAAAATGCTTCACTGTGGTGGTAAAAGAGTGCATTTTATTTGCGGGGAAATACTGATTGACCTTGCTCCCAGTAGCTGTATTGGTTAACAGTGAAGAATTCTGTTGGTTTCTGACCCTCTAGTTGTGTCCTGTGGTAGATAAGAAAATAAGCCTTTACAAATTATTTGGGTAATTTTATAAGGACAAAAAAGCTTTTCTTTACCAAGATAAACTTCCTCTGTCTTTAATATCCACCTGAAGGAAAGATGGACAACATCTTGGTTTGAAGTCTCGCCTAGAAGAAAAGATCCAAATAGAATATAGTCCCTTGAGGGTTAAAACAGATACACCTGTGAAAGCTGGAAATCTGAAATAAAAACAGAAAATCTTGAAAATGCCCCGCAGTTCTGAAAGTGAAAGCTATCATAGCAATTTAAGTGTGTCTGTTAATCAGACCTAATGAATGCTGCAGAGTATTAGCTACAGCAACCCATTCTTCCAACAAATAATACAAATAATAAGATACTGAGTGAACAAACCAGGCCAGTTAATTGTCTGCTGATCAGCAAAATATAATTTACCTATATATAAACAGAGAAAATACAATCTGAATATTTATTCAGATATAAAGAGCCTAGAAACTGGTGTACAACAGACCTTTCCTGTTAGCAATGACTATCTAACTCCCTTTAGTATGATTCCTGGAATACACAGTAAGCTTAAGTCCAGGCTTAAATATTGCAAAACAAATGACCAAGGGTGCTTTTAATAACATTCAAAAATCCATTTTCAAATAATGTATTGTTTGTATTTCAAGTTCCTCATTTTTTATTTGAGATAAATTGATCATGTATGATGGCTGCCTTTTTATTTATTCTGAGTAAGAACGAACTTGAGAACAGCTCAAACTTGTTTTAATTAAAAACGGATTATTCTTGCAAATGCACAGCAAGTCGATCAGTATCTCAAAGCAAAGTATTGAATATTTTGGGTAAACTGATCTGAAAAGATCCTGATGGATTATATCTAAAATAGAATTCTGATAGACATATTATGAGTTTCCAGCATTTTTTTAATTTCATTTCAAATTTCCAGCATTTACAGATTTTCTTTTTATCCACCTGGTTTTATTGCAGACAGATCTTATAATAAAGCCACAAGACCATGTCCCAAACTGTCTGTGTTGTTTCTTTGAATTTTTGCACTTGAGCCCAAAATGCATAATATGGAAGAAATAAAACCTTTGCCGAGGAAAATACAATTTTGTGCAAATTATGCCTGAAGTTCTTTGTGGTGTCAGCCGCAGAACTCTTAACGTTTTCAGGGGATCTTTCTATTCAGATGCTGACTTGTTCAGGAAATGCTGTGTTAAAGTGCAATCATTGTGCCTGTGATTGATGGAGGAGTGTTGCTAAGGGATAGTATCTTCTGGCCACTCTAGAGACTCCAAAAGCTGTATAAAATAGTTGCTGTCACGTTCTGGCCTGAGGCTAACTTAACAATTGCATACAAGTATATGAATACCAGGAGCTATGGGTGCAGGCACTGGGGGAGGCAAGTCTTCATTGGGAGGTGAATAGTTTACTTTCAGGTCACTAGAAGGGTATTATACACATTGGGTTAGTTTCACATTATTTTGTTAGTGTGAAAAGATAATTAGTATGGTTGTGTATTATTAATCAATAACAATGAAATGCATTCTTTAATTTACCAAGCTAATTTGACTGTCAGCAACAATTAAATTATTTGTAGTAATCCCGTTTCCCCTTTCCCTTTAGGGTTCCGTGATAAAGCTTTCAAAATGCTGAGATGAGATCTTTCCTAGAGGATGGGGGCGGACAAGAAATTTCATAGCATTTTGAGCTTTTGTTCTTTTAATATTCCTGTTACACTGAATGTACGAGCGGGACTATTAGTGGTCGACTCCTCATTAGCTGTCTGTGAAAATATTTTTTAAAAAAAGTTAATCGATAGTGTTATTAAAACAAAATGGAAACCACACTAATTATAATCCAGTGTGTCCTGAGCCTGCGATCATGGCTTTGCTTCATCAGCTCGTATTTTTTATATACTGTATTGTTCCTTTGCTCTGTCCATGCCAATTGTAATTTTAAGGAGCAATAAAGTTACCTTGAAACCATGGAACAGTTCATGTGTCTGCCCGCCATGGGCGTTCCGAAAGATGTTGACTTGTATATTTCTTTCTGCGTTTTTTTGTGTTTGTGTTTCATCTTTGAAGTAATATGATCACTCTTTCACGTTTGCCCATTGAATTATTGTTCTGTTGCTGATTCAGTTTCATTTTAACATCTGTGCAGGGGAGATTCAAATGAAGGAAATTTTGTTTCTTCGTGGGAAGGGAAAGCATGATTTATACGTATGCTAAATGTGACAACAGGAAATAATAAGTGAACAATTACACATTCCTGGAGTTGTGAACACCAGCATTCAATATAGAAGGATAATGATTCTTCTACTATCCATTTCATGAATTGCTCCATTGTTGTGGCAAAAGACAAGCTTCAGTAAATTAAATGTATTGAAAGGTATTTTGCACAACAAATAATGCCTCTGTGAAATGTTACTGCTGTAGTAATGATCGTTAAGCGCTCTGAGTTGCCGTCCGGCGTGGAGGGCGCTATATAAATCCAAGTTGTTGTTGCTACAGACACACACCTCTCCATGGTTATTTCTACTGCTGTTGATTTACGTGGTTTGCTGCTGAATGCAACTGAGACTAGGGAAAAGAAATGCTGCAATTTAGATGTGTAATAGTGGAAATTTACAAGACTTTTATTCAATCTTGAATTTTAAAGCCATGATTTTTAAACTCCCCTAGAGTTAGGCAGACTACAAGAGATAGGATCATCTTCATATCTATGTTGAAGGAAGTTTTTTTGCCAATCTGTACATTGTTAATATCTTTATCCCTGTTTGTTTAAGCGTGATGCTGTGGGAAATACTATTGTGTGCTTTTTTACTTTGCTTTATTTTATTTTATGAAACAATTTTTCATTAAACTTTTGAAAACTATTGGCCACTAATTATGTGAGATTTTAATTCAAAATCCTAAATTCATAAATTGAAATATAAAAGTGCAACGGCTTTTACAAAGGTAAGCTGATCAATCTTATAGTTGGAATTAAAGCAATTTTTTGTGTGGCAGGGGGAACTTACTGTACAAAATGCTTTTTACTTTCATTTAAGTAAGCAGTTATTTAAAACATTAGTACGAGCCACAGAGGTTATGTTGCCAAATTCTACTCCCTCACATTCTGGGTGAGGCTTTATTTGTAGGTCTTCACAGTATTGTGTTCTCTTACGTATCTAACCTCCCTTAGCTCAAATCAGACTGACTGAGAGGTTCGATGCATGACTTCTGCCAGGGTTGCTGTTTATCTGATCTTCAAAGATTTCTATGAAGATCATGCTGTTTTCCTTCTGATTTCTCTTTGTTATCAGAAAGCACCTGGCCTTTGCATGCTTTGGAAGGCTGGTCACCTGCTATGTGGTAAATTATTATGACATTCATCATCTAGGTTTCCTTCGTAAATAAGCATTGTATGTAAGCAACCCCCTGGCAATCGACCCCAAGTCAATGGGTGTGTTGGGTCATTAGATAGAGCAAATACTGTTTGCTATGTACACAGATTGAGCATCAGCAGATGAAACAAGTAGCAATGTCATTCCTGTACTTTGATGGTTTTTTTTGCAATGCAGACAGGTGATAAAATAGAGGTTGTTTGGGATTTTACACAGAACATCTTAGACTAATTCCATTCAACTGTTAGGAATGTCTGAACAAAATAAAATGTGTTGGAGCTAGCATGAATGTGTGAACAGTAATTAACATGCAATGTTATCTTGTTGATATATGGATTGATGTGAAGTTTATTTACAAACTTTAAACATGTTTTGGGGGAGAGGAAGATCATTAATATTATGTGGTCTTGTTTTTTTTCACCATCTGGAGGTAAGATTTTACTTGAAAGTATTTTTGTTAAAAGAACTAGAAATCTATGGTAACCTACTCAGTATTCTGAGGTATAATTATAATCCTTATATTTGACACAGTGCCTTTCACGTCGGGGGGATGTCACAAAGTGCTTCACAGGCTATATTGTAAAGTGTTGTGACTGTGTGGGCAGCACACAGCCACTAATAGCCACAAAGAATAACCAATTTTATATGGGCGATTGTTGGCCAGGATAGGAATAGAAGGCAAAGTGCAAATAAAGTGAAACAGTTTCCCTACACTGAAAAAACTGACAAGTGTCTTTGCCCAATATGAGTAAGATTATAATGTTTTACAATGGATACCTGTATTCTGCAAAAATTGGGGATACAACAAGGTATTCCCTAGTTAATGTCCTTTGTGGGNAAAAAAATGTTGATTGGAAAAAAAAGACATAATAAAATAAATTCACCCTCTGATCTGAATTACACAACAATTGAACTATTATTGATCTAGTGACCAGTGTTTGCATGAGAATTTTACATCTGTAAGAAGCACACTGGATCAGGATTGATAGTAACTTGTAAACATTTCAAGGTTACATTTGTATAATTGACAAAGAAAACCAATTAATAAGAATATTAACTGTCACTTGCTTTTTTAAAAGAACTTATCAAATTTGTTATAATTAGATCACTTTAGCAGGAGCTAAATAAGAGATTATTCTAATTGAGGAAAGAAACTAGGACAAGTCTGAAAAGCCTGCCTTTGTCCAACCCTCATTTATCGGTTTTACTTTAAATTTTGTTTCACTCATTATGTGACGTAATAACCAGATTTTATAAACTTATCCACGGTGAAAATAGGCTATCATAAGCCTTTAACAGCAACAATAACTTGCATTTATATAGCGCCCATCACTTGGGGTAGTGTTCCGGAGGGCTTGACAAGCGGTCAATGTCGCATTCACTTGGTCTTTGAATCCAACCCATGCATTAGATAATTCTAATATGTAATCATAATGACCTTCCACAAATGTATTGATCCAAGGACGAAGCTAACTAGTCTAGTAGCACTGGAAATGTGAAAAGTGTACTTGAGAATGATTTTGAATCCTGGAGTAGGTTCTGAAGAAAACTAAGGCAATCTAAAGCAATGTTGGTGCATGTTTTCTATTGCAGTTTTCAAACTATATTTTGAAAAACATAGAGTATCTGAGTGCTGGTATCTCTAAAGATTTCTCTTAACATGGAAATATGTATTGAATGCATTCTTTTGGTGATGCACCTTTCACGATCAGTTGACTCTATTTCCTACCAATTAATAAAGAGGATTGTTGCTAACGCTTTCTGGTTGAACATCACTTTGTGTGACTGAACAATGAAGACTTTCCTGTTGGGAATGCAGGATATTAGAATTGGATTTAGCAGGTGAAATGAGAAGAAAGTGAGCCTATGATTAATATCCATAGACCCTGACTTAGAAAGAGCATGTCTGAGCATCCATTTAGCTGAATATCATAGTTGACTTTCTTGGCGTTGTTTAGGCTCACAGGTGAAGAGTGCCCGTAGGATAAGACAGTGGATGACTAGGTGCTTCTGTGAAAGGAGTACTCCCAACTTGAAACAAGGCCTTTAGAAGAAGAGCGAAGAAACCAGGTTGATTCATTAAAATTCAGATAACTATCCCATTTAATGATTATTATTCGGAGTCCTGTAGCTCAGTGGTTAGAGCACTCGCTTTGCAAGTGAGAGACCTGAGTTCAATTCCAGGCAGAGGGCGAAACCTTGGGCAAGTTTCCTTACTCCACACAGAGCCTAATAATAATCCCTCCAAAACCAAAAACAATAATAAATTGGTCATTTTCAATCTACGACTGTTTGTGGGACATTGCTGTGCGCAATTGGCTGCCGCGTTCGCCCACAAATATACAGTCAATTCACTTTACAGTGTGTTCTGTGAAGCGCTTTGGTACGTCCTCCCGACGTGAAAAGCGCTATATCAAATGCAAGGATTATTATTATTATTGAGTCTCAATAAATGTCAAAAACAAAAGTTGACAATATTTAATGTTTTGCATTGAATTGTGCTGGTGGGAACAATGGAGGAGCCACATATCTTTGTGCAGCCCATTGATAACATGGATGTTACTCTGTGTGCTGTGTGTTACTGCAGTCTGGTTTGGCAAGCACCAGTTCTCTTCTGTCTTTATTATAAATATGTGACCCCTATAACAACTGTTTTCTGGTGTAACCAGGGGAGTGTGCAGTTGAAATCCCTTAACTATACTTGTTTGTACTACTTCTGTGTTGATTTTTAGCTTATTGTTGGGTAAGAGAAGCATAAGAGAGTAAACATTTCCACTAATATCAACCTGTCTCTAACCATTAAGAAATAAGTGAAAATTAAAAGGAATTTGTTGTAAAAATGAAGAAAACCTAAAGAATAACATTTAAAGAGGGAAATAAAATACAGGTGACAAAATATTCAAAAGCATAAATAAGAAAGACCAAGAAAACACAGCCCATCAAATGCTTCAAATCCAGCCCTAACCAATTGAATTAAAAGTAATCTCGTCAAGAATCCTATGTAAAATTAGGTTTTGGTGGTTTCAACATAGTTATTAGTGGGCATGGACCCACTACAAAGCTGCAATGATTTGGGATTGCTTTCTCAGTTTCACTTACTGAAAGGTTATTGGTGTGGGAAATGGAAAAATCACAAATAGTGATTTTACAGCAACGATTACTCTTCTAAGGTTGATAGAGCAGAGAATTGTTGCTCTGCATCTAACCTATGTTGTGATTGATACTGCAACTGTGTGTTTGAAATGTTTTATTTTCCAGCACTGACATTGTTCACTTTGAGCCATGAGTGTACTTGACATAAATTGAAAGGATAACAAATTAAAAGGTTGAACATGAAAATCCATTACTCCCATCAAGTGCATTCTTTCCACAGACCATGAACAGTCCACCTTATCATAGACTTGGTGAAATATTCAGAATTTCCAAATACTGTACATATCTAAAGCTGCATCCACCTTAAGCATTCTACCCCAGTTGGGTTTTATCATGGCATTTCCATGGGCTCAGCAGCTCAGAAACTAATATGTTCCACACAGCATTTAACTATCCCTTTGTGTATGCAGTTTGATAAATGGCTTTTGTGAAATTGCCATAGAAAT